TTCAGCTGAAAACATAACTCAGTTGGAAGCCAAAAAGATAGCTATGATAGTAGTTTTAAGACTTCAAAACGTCTGTTATCTCATTCTATAGGAATTTTAGGAATTTTTCATATCAAATTATAAGTTCAGAAAAATTCTTAGAATGAGACAACAGACGCTTTGAAGCTTTGATGAATCTCATGCAATAAACGAGCACTACTTACTATGACAATCTGACTTATAATAACCAGGAGCACATTTACATCTTTCGTCCCGGCATTTTCCTCCATTCAGGCAATCAGAGTTGTCGTCACACTTAGAAGCCACAACTTAAAAAGAACGTTTAGTCCAGTACTACATGCATTATTTTCGTTTCTTTGGCGGTAATAAGTGCCTTGCACTCCTTACCAGCATTACCCACCCAACTCCATACCAGCAGTACCCACCCAACTCCATACCAGCATTACCCACCCACCTCCATACCAACAGTACCCACCCAACTCCATACCAGCATTACCCACCCAACTGCATACCAACAGTACCCACCCAACTCCATACCAGCATTACCCACCCAACTGCATACCAACAGTACCCACCCAACTCCATACCAGCATTACCCACCCAACTCCATACCAGCATTACCCACCCAACTCCATACCAGCATTACCCACCCAACTCCATACCAGCATTACCCACCCAACTCCATACCAGCAGTACCAACCAAACTCCATACCAACAGTACCCACCCAACTCCATACCAACAGTACCCACCCAACTCCATATCACAAAACATATACTTAATAGCAAAACAAATAAAAAATTGAATCTTGTGGCTTACTTTGTTGGAAATAAGAGGTCAGGACCAGTAAACACAACAAGTTTGCAGTAAAGTGAACGGCCATGTTACCTCTGTAACCTGCAAAGATTTAACTGAACCGTCATTTATTGAGATAATCTTATTTACACGTTTACCAGGGCGTGCCAACAGACAATGCTCCTGGGTGCGAGGTTGATTTTAGACTTTTGTGTGAAGTTGCAATCGTTAATACTGGGGTATACATTTATTTCTTCATGTCCAATTTTCAAACCTCTTTGAGTAAAATTGCTTCGTTTGCGGTCTGGTTCTTTTAAACTTCTCGATACATGCTTGCATGCTTTGACTAAATGTTCTGGATTTGTTGACGGAAAAAAACTTATTCACCACCATTGCTCGCTCCTTTTTTGCAAAAGCTTTTTTTTGTCTTGAAAACTAATATTTCGTGTTTTACTAAATACTACGTTTCGTAATATAAGAAATAGTTTCTATATACAAGCATAAAAGCATTGTTGTGGAAAAGTCTGTGATTCGAGATGTTTCCCGTGGTTTTACCACCTGCGCATGCATGAGTATCTTGTTGCGGAGACAAAATTTGTTTCCTAAGGAAAGAATGTTTCCTATCTGACTCAAAAACATTCATGTTTTCCAAGTTTGACTTTCATAATGCGGAAACATTGTTCAATGTTTATTTCGCAGAGTTTCAGAAGTTCCAATTTGAACTTCGTGATTTTGTTTTAATTCGTGCTTGTCTAATATTTATCTGTTGCCATGGCGTGGTACCTGTCGTGTTTATGTTGTGGTTTAAACATATACGCAGCTACATCTAAAATAACTCAGTGGCGTAATTTATTACGGGCCCAAACCAGCCAAAGCCGGGGCCCCTGGGGAGGGAGCTTCTCAGGGCGGCCCTTGGCTAATATCTCAATCTCAAAAAATATAGGCGAAAACAGGAAATTTTCAAAACGTGAAATTGTTTATATTTTGATTTTTTATCATTTAAATCAACTTTATTATATACCACTTGTCAAAGTTAGGTTTTGTTCGTTCCCATGGGAAATAACAACTTTAATCACATGTGGCGCACCTGGACTGTTTATCGATTTAAAATTATGTTTTTTATAATTTATGAATAGATATCTCGTGTTTACCTTGTTGTTTGGTTTTTTTTTTGACAAGTGGTATATAATGAAAAACTTATTTACTGAGACCTCAGAAAAAATTATGTTTTGTGGACCCTCGACAGTCGATGATATTTCACTCAGCTTCGCCTCGAGTTTAGCGCACAGTTTATGAAACTCGTGTTCATGAATAAAATTCAATTCGAAGGGATGGCACCGTAAATGTTTTTGGGAGGATGTATAATTAGGTGGGCCCTTCCTACTATTTAAACCGGGGGCCCATAGTAGAAGATTCACGCCACTGAAAATACTAGGATTCCTAGATGTAACTGCGCATAGTAACAAAATACTCTACAATTAAACTAAGTTTTAAATTGAAAAATAAGTTTATTGTAAACGGCTATCAGAATAGCTGATCTCTGCTGAAGACTTTGACTGTGTTGTGCAAAATTTACATGAAAAAAGATTCTAGCCTAGCGTTTAAAGTATACGAAATATAATATTTATAATACTTGACAGTTTTACAGAGCCATCATTTTATGACTCTATACGAAATTCTACAACTGGGGCAGGTTGTATCAAGCCCGTTTAGCTTAAACGGTGGATAAGTCAAAATTAAATTAACACTCTTACATCTCTCTTGAATGAGTCAACTTGAATATTATGCACTGAATATGTAGCTGTAAACAGTATCTTTGCTTGTTGAATAAAACGATAGACTTGCTTTCTATTTTGAACTTAACCACCGTTTAAGCTTAACGAGCTTGATACAACCGGCCCCAGACAATTAGGTTTGTTTTTATCACGATATTCCCAGCAACAGGTATATAGCAATGCTAACGGACCTAAATTAACTTTTATACTGCACGAATGCTCAAATATAACTATGCCCCATGTACCACCATAAACGTTTTGGCTTCGTTGCAAATACATGGATAAAAAATATAATCTTAATATTTGTCTGACAAATTACATATGTAATTTAAAAAAAAAGAAGCCTCATGTTTGCTAGGACACCTGTTCTCCTCTAATATAATCTAAAATGTAAATGCTTACATTAACTCCCACTTACCAAACTCTCAGCTTGAAACTCTCATCGAGAAATTGCCTAAAATCAAAGCAATCCCAGTTAAAAATAATCAAGTCTTTGGCGAGAACGCAAAGTTGCGGCTGCTTGTAAGTCTAAGCAAGAACTTATTAATAGTAGTTTGCTGTGCCCACACGTCTGTCAACAGAATTGCGTATCATAGTAACGGAACTCACTGATAATATAAACACCTGGAGCCAGTTGAATAAAAATACTATAGTTAACTTTTAATTGCTTTTACGGACAGAATTGGCCAATCAGAGTCATGTATTTTTGAGTTACAACCGGCGCCTGGGGCCGGTTTTATAAAAGCTAGTAGTTAGCTTAACCCCGGGTTAAACCAAATCTTTACATCAATCGCTATTTACAAAGTTAAATATCTTCTTTCATAGATATTTTTTAGGACCGACAAAAGCCATATTTTGTAAAGGTTTTAAAACTAACAGCGGTTCAAAAGCGCTAGGAGCCGGTTGTATTAAGCCCGTTTAGCAGTGGTTAAGTTCAAAATAGAAAGCAAGTCTATCGTCTTATTCAACAAGCAAACTAAATGTGTTTAACCTTAATACAAGGATACGGTTTACAACTACATATTCAGTACATAATATTCAAAGTGACTCATTCAAGAGAGATGTAAGAGTCTTATTTTTCCCCTGTTTGTTTAACAGCGCGTAAAAAGGATTAATAATTAATTAAAGAAAATTCGACAGAATTGAGCGTTTAATAATTTATGTTTGTAAATCGTCTTAAAAATTGTAGTGATTTATATAAACCTAAACTTTTGTTTTATACAACTGGTTTTAATGATATTTCCCCCAAGCCTTGCAGTGCACGACTAAAAACTGAGCAGACGTACGACTTTCGCGCATGCGAGTAGTTTTACTACGGGAGGAAGGAAAAGGGAAGAAGATGGAAGAAGCACTCTAGAATCTAGATGGGGTCTCATCTCAACTAAAGGAAAGCCCGCTCTCTTAAATATTTACATCATATGCATCGGTGTTGTTTATCACCTACCACGATCATGCATCTTCTTAACGGGATTATACATGCACTGGGTACAATGAAAAGAATGCCTTCCTATGGCTATCGACGGTGTTTACAAAGAGATTCGACAATTATATAGGTATAGATTATTGTTCGATTTCTCAACAATGAATCAATGCAAATTAGGAGATGAACTAAATTTGAATGCCTTTATCACAGTTTTTTATATTTAATTACCCGTGCTGTCATGCATCGAAAAGGTCTATGGAAAAGGGTATAATTTCGAAACAATTTGCTACAATTACCGTGAAAAACAAGGTTTTTTTATATTCTTATTATCTATTTTTTTATATTTTTATATTGTTTGCAATTTTAGACTAAGCTGATCAGAATGCCTTAATTTTAACAGTCGAACAACAAGAAGGAATTTCATTTTAAACTAACCGGCATACTTGTTTACATTTTTTAGGCAACGCCAATCAGAATGCCTCAATTTTTTATACTTCATGTAGTCAAACAAGATGTTCTGTTGCGTACAACATAACAACAATTCGATATTGTGAAGCAATGTTGCAACTTTGATTGACAAGTGTCACAAGTCACTTGTAAACAGACTGCCATTGGGTATGACGGCAATTAAATAAATTATAAGAGTAATTAGACGGTGCATTCCGCGTGAAAATGAAAGCAAAACAACAGTCGGAACTCATAAAACTTACCGTGACAACCGGAAATCTGTTATGAACTACCTAGAAATATTACACCAAATATGATCTTACGGTAATGCGGTTGACTTTGGTTGAAAACTTAGAAGAGTTTTAGCAAAAAAAAAAACCAAAACGACAGCTACTTTGTTGAATAAAATCAAAACCACTCTGTGCCGATCCACGAGAAAATAATATAGATGAAACTAATTCACACTAATCTCGTTATTTAATTTAGAGAAATTTATTTGCAATCATTTGCAAGGTCAATTATTATACTTATTATGTATTTGAATTGCGCATTAGACTGTGCGAGTTCAAACCGTGCATTATTAATTTAGTATGTTTATATCTCCACAGGCGATATATAACAATCCCAGTGTTAGTAAACTTTAGAATTAAATACCACATATTAAGTAAATCGGATCTTTAAATTTTACAACTAATAATCTTAAGTGGTAATTTAAGTATTAATAAAGACAATTTCAACGGAAAATGCACAAATACTGCATGCATGAATTCAATTTTAGTAAAATATGTTAAATAAATTTTGCTTCAATTATATAAGCCTGTTTAAAAACCATCGACTTTGTTTTAAAAGTGAATATTAAATAATCATATTTAGAAGATAATTTGGTACAGAATCCGCTGGATGTCAAATGTACCATAGCAATTCAGTGCTGATGTTGAGATCAGTGCAGTTACAACAGTAAAACCAAATAGATACAAGTTATACGACTACATAGCATCGTCTTCCTGTATTAAGGAGGTCTGACTATGATGACTCCTCAACGAGGAACGGTCTTGCATTGGAAATTCCTGACTGGAATGGACGTCCTCTTCCTCATTTAAAGAGGCACGACTATGATTTGTTCGCGATGGGGAACGGTCCTGCATTGGAAATACTTGACTAGACTGGACATCACCTTCCTCCATTAAAGAGGTACGACTCTGATTAGTTCGCGATGGGGAACGGTCTTGCATTGGAAATACCTGACTAGAATGGACGTTCTCTTCCTCGTTTAAAGAGGTGCGACTTTGATTAGTCCGTGATGGAGAACGGTCCTGCATTGGAAATACTTGACTAGGCTGGACATCACCTTCCTCCATTAAAGAGGTACGACTCTGATTAGTTCTCGATGGAGAACGGTCCTGCATTGGAAATACTTGACTAGAATGGACGTCCTCTTCCTCGTTTAAAGAGGTGCGACTTTGATTAGTCCGTGATGGAGAACGGTCCTGCATTGGAAATAATTGACTAGGCTGGACATCACCTTCCTCCATTAAAGAGGTACGACTCTGATTAGTTCGCGATGGGGAACGGTCCTGCATAGAAAAGACTCGACTAGACTGGACATCCTCGGCCTCATTTAAAGAGGTACGACTATGATTAGTTCTCGATGGGGAACGGTCCTGCATTGGAAAGACTCGACTAGACCGGACATCCTCCGCCTCATTTAAAGAAGTACGACTATGATTAGCTGGCAATGGGGAACGGTCCTGCATTGGAAAGACTGGACTAGACCGAACATTGTCTTCCTCGCTCACAGGGTTAAGATTCACATGACTTTGTGATGGAGAACGTTCCTCCACAATTGGAACGACCTGACCAGATTTCCTTTTTCGAAAATCATTAAAGGATGAAATGGAAGACTGACGGGGCGATGTGTCCGACTCATCTTTGTCGAAAGCCGCATTCGCTTCGGGACTGACCCGTGTCCTCGATCTCCGAAGGTCGAAAGATATAAGCGATCTAGTTGGATGGAGTCTGGCTCTCTCGGCTTTGAAAAGCCACGTGCTCTTACGCTCACGGATTTGTTTATTTCTTAGAGCAAAAATCTGCTGTTCTAAGGATTTGGCGAAATCCTCCAGTGACTCGCGACCCTCCGTTCTGAGGTATTCTGCGACTCGGAATGAAGGAATACTCTCTTCTGCGAAGGTAGAGACGAAGAATTTAAGATATTGGGATTAACACTCCGTTTAGAACGGTATTATATAGTAAATATTAGTTACGAGAGTTTGAGAAAGAAGAAGTTTTTCAAATCCCAAGTTTTAAAACGAAAAAATTTAAGACAATTTATTATTTGTAATTCATGTAAATTCTAAATTGTATCGAACCGATTTTACTCTGTAATTTCATAGTCGATTCCAACCTTATTATAATCTTGTACATTTTAAAATTTTAAAACTTAACTTTTTCAGCCATAGTAATTCTTGGGCTGCATGTGTTCAATTTATTAAATCTATTTATTTATTGATCAGCATTTAATGAATTTAACACCAAACAAGCGGACTTCTGCGTTTCAAACCGAACTCCAACTGCAATGCGAAAGCAAAGAACCTATTTTGCACAAAATTTACGAAAACATTCTCAGGTCGTTCTAGGTCAATGTAAACTCATCATAATTCATCACAATTATACGACACACGAAAATAGCGCGAGAGAAAAGGAAACTCACCCAGTTTCTCTTTTTTACTTTGCTTTTCTTTCTCCTTTTTCTTGTACTTTCCAAAATGCCAAATCAGGCCGAGGATAATTGCCACAGCCAACAAACTCATGGTCACTTTGAATGACTCTTGAAACGCTTCTGCCGAGGGATCGAATAAACCAGACGATTTCTCTTTGGCTTCATCAGCCTCGTTCTTATCCTGTTGTAAAAACATTCACGAACTTAGCCACATTTTCCCGAACATTTCAAGGAATAAAATTCGTCAAAAATAATCTTGTCTATACTGTCCCCCAGTGAGCAAGTAAAAAACTTTTAACTATACAAAAAACTTTTTGAAGCGCAAATCGTGAGACTTACAAGTGATATGGAATCTGTATTTTCTTCGACAATTAACGAGATCTTTGTCTTTTGCGCAGCCAGAGCTTGGCGGAATAATGGCGCGGCTTTGGCCATGTTTCCAGACAGGACAAAACCGTAACCAGTTGGATATTCTATCAGACGATTCAACTGGATATCTCCTCCTTCAAACATACTTTTCTTAGTTGCCGCAGCGTACATGTCAAGTAAAGCTCCTGACACCTCCTTGTTGTGCATTGCGTTGATCAAATCCTCCATATTGTTGTAAGGAACAACTGAAAATGTGTCAAAGTGGAAACGCAATTGTAATAGAATATTGCCACGTTACAAAAAATGCTTTTTTGTGTGTTTCCGCGAAATTACAAGACGAAAAGCAAACTTAATCGAGCTACGGCCAAGTAGATAGTCCCTGGGAATGCCACTGTCTTATTACTGAATTATCTCCGATCCAGGGAGGAGGGGAGAGGAAGGGTGCCCTCCCAGGGAAACTTAAACTACTAGACTATACAGTATCTGATATATTGTAAACATTGATCCTATTTAAACTATCATCTTTATCACCAAAGACACCTTAGAGAAAACGCCTTACCATCTGCATTCTGTCTAACTGCCTTTGAGTATTCAGCAGAATTTACAATAGCCCCGACCTAAAAGAAAGTTGAAATTAAGTAGTAAGTTAACAATCTCGTTTAAGGTGGTTCTAAACTTAAAACGATAATGTTGCGACGTAATTACCGAAAATGTCTATTGGGGAACATATGCCCAAAAACGTTTCTTGAATTACCTTTGCGCCATAAATTTTGTCTTCTTGAACAACTAGCACTGACGTAATCGAAGTGACGATCCCCCCCGTGACGATCGAGATAATCACGAGACCCATTAGAATCCAAGCCAAAGCAAACAGACGACCGGGCACAGTAACTGGACTGCGATCACCGTATCTGAAACAAATTATGTACATACAGATGTTACTATCTAAAATCACCAGCCTTTAGGCGAGTTTCTTAAGGATTGGGATTAGGGTATTACTTAAGGATTAGGTTTAGGATTGACATTAAGGATATTTAATATTTCAATGTGGAAAATGGAAGGTCATAAAAAAAGTAAAAAAAATAATAATATTGTTGTAAGTTTGCATGATGACATCAATAAGTAAATTAGCTTGTAGCTACATCACGTGTGCTTGTAGGTACACCACGTGTGCTTGTAGGTACACCACGTGTGCTTGTAGGTACATCACGTGTGCTTGTAGGTACACCACGTGTGCTTGTAGGTACACCACGTGTGTTTGTAGGTACACCAAGTATTTATAACCTAAAATAAACTTACCCAACAGTTGTCATGGAGATATAAGCCCACCAAAATCCCTCTGGAACACCTTTCGTAAACGATTCTGGGAAATGATCGTTGTTTTGGTTACGTTCCTAAGAAAATAAGATGAAAAACTACCATCAAAGTCATAATAAAAAACATGTTCATAGGCCAACGAGTTTGAAAGTTCCACCAACATACGACTATTACTCATGGAATATTCAAGGTGAAAACATTTCCAGCACTCACCAAGATCCAAATGATAATCCCAGCGATCCACGCGAAGAAAATCATCAACATAACCAACGGCATACACGCCACGGCCGCCTGGACAACCACTGTGGCAGTTGAGGGGACATTTTTGACGGTGAAGTACGCCGAACCAGGTGCATCGACGACGGAAATGTACGGAAATACTCCGCCATACGTCGTCATAAATCTATTACCCTGGACGGGAAAACTGACCTCAACATTTCCGCCAATATTTGTTAAAACGGATTGTAAACTGTTTTTCTGATAATTGTTTCCTGATGAACGTCTTTTCCGACGTTTTTTGTCGCAACCCTCTTCGTAGCAAAACTCGGTTTTACCATGACCGTTTTCGCAAACACCACACATGTCATCCAGAACGTTTCTCGTTACTAAGAAGAAAATTCCGCCGGGCGAATTGGTATTGCTCATGTTCGTGTAAGGAGGTAAGACCCACCAATTGGAGCGAAGGTACTTTGGACAACGACATGTTTCTACAATAGAAATCGGATGCAATGATCAGAAGACATTTAGTTTAGCAAAGAGGAAAACAAAGTCGTTTCCTTTAGTTTTCCTTACAAAATAAACGGCGATATTAGAACTCAAGTAATAATCAACTACGGGCTCGTAATTTAACATGAAATATAAACTTAGTTCCGAAGCAAAATACATTCTAAACCTCCATATCTATACCACTACCATAATCATATCTCAGCCGAATGGAGGGACCCGAATAAAGTACGTACCAGCAGCTGAGGCGTTGCTTTTCGAGCCGTTCTTACTGGTATAGCCAAAGATACGGATCTCGTAGGTAGAGCCAGGATCAAGGTTTTTGAGCATCGTTGAGTAACGATTTCCTCTGACTCTTTTCGACTGAACAACTCGTTTATCGGAAGGTATGACCTCTCCAGCCAAAACTGTCGCGGTGTACTCGACGTAGTAACCACGTAAGATACCGTTATGATATTTAGCTGGGATTCTCGTCCATTCCAGCTCTATCTCGCTGATGTGTTTAAGCGTAGACATTTTGATGTCTTCCGGGGGATATTCCGGACCTGAGATAAATCATACACGAATGTCATCGAATGCGACGTTTCTACAGAGAGATTACAGCCTCGACGAGTAATTTCTTACCGACTTGTTGTTATACAGGAAATGAAAAAGCAAATGCAAAAACATTTTTTTTATTATGTTCTCAGAAATTAAGTAATTCTTACCGTCTTCCCCAGTGGAGTTTATGTGCCCTGGGGGATATCGTGGGCCTTCACCCTTTTTGTTCAAAGCGCTCACCCAAATGGTGTAGTTGGTAAATTTCTTTAGATCTTCGACGTAGTAAGATCTTTCAGGATGTGGAATAATCCTGGACACAATCACATTGCCCGGATTGTTAGTCTCGATTACGGTCAGATTGTAACCAATCAGAATGCCGTGTGCAAAATTCCCTAGGACGGCATCCCATTCAAACGACATGCTGGTCGTTGTCAAGGCAACGCCACGAATATTCTCAGGGTAACGGCTTGGAACTAAAAGTGAAATCACCATGGATTCATGGATCATAAAACACAACATTTCGCTATATTTAACGCTTTATCCAGTGTACTTTGAGATCAGTGTTCAATACTGTCCCATGTATAAAGATGGAAATATCCCAGTTTTCCACATTATTAAATACCCGTATGGTGTAAATACTAACCTTCTTCGTCTGTCTGAACGACAACGTTCAAGGTCACTCCAGTGCCAATCTTTGTATAACCAGCAATGTATATATCATACCACCACCACCAGAACAGTCCAGTCAAGTGACACTCCAGAGGATTTGGATCAGATATTGGGATCTCAATCATTTTCTGTTTTCTAGTCGTATCTGCAGCACGATAATAAACACGATATCCAAGAAGAGTTCCTTGATGGTACTGGGGATCTATGGCCTCCCATTTGAGATAAATGCTTGAGGAGCTGGTGTTTCTACCTTCGACCAGAGCGGGCGCTTTGGAAGGAGCTGGAAGAAAGATAAAATTTAGTAGACAACACGTACCTAGAACTGTTTCTTTCAACATTCAGACAGACAGACAGACAGGCAGGCAAACAAACAAACAAACTAACAAACTAGCAAACAAGCAAACAAACGCCAAGACGGCTGGTAAACAGACATACAGACAAATACAAAACGGACGGCTAGACACACAAACGAACAACTACATATTCAGCGCATAATATTCAAGTTGACTCATTCAAAAGACATGACAAACAGATGGACAGACTGACTACTCACTTGACTCTTCTGTAGTGATGGATATCGCTGTACATTCCGGGCCATCTCCAACACTCGTATAGGCCAGAACTTTGACTTGATATTCAGTAAGGAACTTCAGGCCGGTGATATTCACTTTTCTACTATCGGCGCCATCCACATTTATCCATTTTACCACCTCACCAGCAATCCCGTATGACACCTTGTATCCTTTTATGATCCCACGTCTTGCATCAGGCCTCACTTCGTCCCATGTGACAAGCACGCCAACTGTGGACGTCATAGCTGTTGCATTCACATTCTGGGGGGGTTCACTCGGTACTATTTGGGATAAAAAGCTATATCACAAACCAATGTCGTATACCGCACTTAACGCACTCCACGTACTGCAAAATAAGCAATTATAATTACAAAGACAGACAGACACACGAACACAGGCTGACAGATGGATGATGGGTGATAAAAAGATAATGGGTGATGAAATGATAGATGACGACATACCATACTCCAAGGTGACAAAACTCGTACTAGCTTCTTCTCCACATCCGGGCGTTGTTTTGGCAGACACGTAGACATAATACTTCGTAAAATGATCCAAACCAGTAAGAACGGTCTGCAGTTGTTCAACGTCGGTGACATTATGAGTGTTACTGGTTGATGCTCCTCTTGCTTTATATCTCACGCAGTAGCCTCGTTGAATGCCGTTCCAATATTCCGAGCTCACTGTGGTCCAGGATAAATTTAACGATTGAGATGTTGGAGACGAAATGTTCAATATTTTCGGTGCCACACTTGGAACTGAAAACAGATGTTTGTAACTGTAATTATATATTGTCAGCGAAAGACAATGGAACATCCAATGGAACATTTTAAAATGTGCAAACTGTACAAAATTTGTATACATATGTTACTCGCTTTAAAAATAACTCCCCAATGGTTTCAAAACAAAATTTGGTGTGCTATATATGCGACATTTTCCCAAATTCTTTAATGAAATTCGAAATTTCACTCATTCTAAGATGCATAGGAAAGAATAGGTAGCGTGAAATACTATTCTATATCCTGACAATTTATGCCCACCCCGTTTCAGAAACACGACATTCTTCAAGCATTTGAGGAATGATGCATTAATTAAAAACCAGGCCGTACCATCTTCCAGTGTAGTTTTTGTGACAGGTGCGCTCGGAATACCATTTCCTTTCTCAGAATACGGGCAAATCACCATTCGATATTCGGTGAATTTCTTGAGCTCCACCAAAGTTTTCGAAAGCTCGGAAGGATCTACGCCGATTTTCTGGTACGGTTTTGCTGCCGTTTCTTTATAGAACAATACGTATCCAGTGAGAGTCGACGTGCTCGATGTTTCAGCTGAGCTTGGTAAAGCTGGCCATTCCGCTCTTATGCTAGTTGAATTCAAAGGAGTTGCTTGGAGAACAAGTGGCGACGAAAATACTAAAAGATCATGAATCGTGCATTATTGTATTAGCAAACATTGAATGGAATAGCAGCTCTTTTGACTGCAGTACACATAATTAGCAAAAATGACCAGATAACAACAGATTTCATCTATTCTGATTGGTTTAAGATCCATGGCTTCTGAATTTATTGGTAGCTGCTGGTCACGGAGTTTTTTTGCGTATTATATTGGGTGATTCAACATGGCTGCAATTACTCAGTAGCAATTAATTATTATTAATTATTAATTATTATTATTAGCAATTAATTATGAACAGTCCAGAGACTTACCATTTGTTGAGGTCATGCTGTGTAGAACTGTTTCCGTTGCTGAATCCAGCAGTTTATCTTGGAGAACAACCAGCTCATCACCGGCAAGCGACTGATAGCCCAGATCCAATTTGCATTTCACTTTATTCCCCCCTCCCGCGCTGAAATAAACGACAATGATCGTGGGACATCCGTAGAAAATTTAAAACAAGTTAAGGTAGTCGAATGTGGTAGCGTGATGTATAATGCCATGTGTCACTGAAATCAGTCTAGACACTTCACACAATGGGATGATCCTTTTAGAACCAACAAATCTGTATTTTTCTATACTCTCATAAATCAAATATTGGACGAGGTCGAGCAAAATAATGTGATTTGTCGGTGGCGAGCAGATCCAATTATTTGTCGATGCCGAAGGCAAAGGCAAATAATTGATCTGCGAGCCAACGACAAATCAAGATATTTTGCGAAAACTGAGTTTAATGATTGCTTTATCATTCACTAATCTTATTATTTTCTGGTATTTTACGCCTTTTTTTCGAGCAATACAACTCATTTTCCGAAAATTCGCCATTATTGTTTACAAAATGGAAGCCAATGCGCATGCTCAGAGTATTTTCGCAGTTGAGCAACGTTTTTAACAAATGCGCATGCTCAGAGTATTATTTGCATGCAGTTAACTGCAGGTAAATTAACCAATCAAAATTGAGAATACGATAAAGTGAATGATAATCTTATTTATTTGCAATTATTTCATCGACTTTAACGAGATGAAAATATTTGCCTCCTTACCTGCACAAAGTGAAAGTGATCGCTGGAGGAAATGTCTCGTACACAGAATTGATCTGTAAATAATGGACGTTGTTAGTTATTGTCTCATTTTCTCATCGATGGAACGGAACAGTCGAGGAAGGGTGAAAGCAGGCGACCTCAAATCGAGCTGAGTTCTGTATGTTTACACCCACTGAGATTTGTTGGACCGATTTTGTCGTATTCAATAAACATGCGATGCATATGCCAGCCAGACGGCTGACATAAAATCGCCCAGCGAAAAACGGGCCCATGGCGCAATGTAAACCTCGTTGCAACATTAAATTTACCAATTTGAGAAAATTTTGCTTCAAGCCATAGCAAATTCAGAAATTTTTAAATCCTATCTCATGGTCTCGAATTTGTCATTAGTTTGCAGGTTCGTGAATGTGCACACTCACCATTCCCTTCACAGAGTTCTCGAATGAGGTCACGTCACTGTTATATTCAGTCATCGTTACGCTGTCGAAGGTCACGTCCAAAAGAATGTTAGCGGCTAAAAGGGCGAAGCAAAAACACAGAGCTTAGCGTTTAGTGGGTGAAAATTCATTTGCACTTTATTTACTCTTCTTTTTACCCAATTGGATTATTTTTAAGTCAAATACTTCTTGCGTTTTATGCCTAAGTTCGTTTGAAGATAACGTTTAGTTTCGTTTTTGCCCGAGATGAGCAAGAGACAGATTTGCCCAGGAAAGATAGATGTGAGACGTTTTTGGCCGTCTCAGAGGTTTATATTAAGAAATCATTTTCTGCAGAAAGTCTTATAATACACTGACTTACGCGAACAAGGTGACGTGTTGCAATTATTGGCCTCATAGGAAGGACCAGTGCAGTTCTTTCCACCATACATTGGAGTTGGGTTGGTACAAGAACGTTTTCTATCCGAGGTACCAGTTCCACAAGGTTTGTTACAGAACATCCAGGGACTCCAGTCTGTATAACCTCCGTGAACTACGATAAATATAAACATTACATGTCCAGGCCGTTTGAATAAGAATATTTGGAAATAAACCAGTACATGTGGCATATTTGAAGATATTATTAACTTTTATTATTATTTAACTTTTTATTATTTTGAATGTTTGGGGAAGTTACATCCCTCCCCAACACTCTGGTCAACACACCCCTCCCCCACACCCCTGGTCACCACGCCCTTGAGTGCATGGCTAAGCCACTTACTAGGACAATGATGTGTGTTGCAGTAGTTTAAGTCATGGCCCGGTCCTTCACACGGTGAACCACCATGAGCTGGACTTGGATTGTTACATGATCTGCCTCGCACTCGAGTTCCGTTTCCACACTCCTTGGTACAAGTTGTCCAAGATGACCACTCGTTATAGTTTCCATGAACTAAAAAACATCAATAATTTATTCAAATTCAAACCATTCATAACATCAGTAAATCGTGATTTTGTACACTGTTTGTACACTTTCTACACAGTGTTCTGGTGTAGGAAGAGCTCATCAGCTGCCAAATAAGTATAAAATAAAGAGATTGATACACACGACAGTTGGAATTCTCCTGATCTTACCTGGACAAGGATGGATATTGCAATCTTGTGATTGTCTTCCATCCCCTTTGCATTCCGGAGCGCCGGGGCCTGGTGGCGGGTTATTACATAACCTGTAGCGGCTCTGATGTCCTCCCCCACATGCTTCTGTACAGGGGGTCCACCACGTCCAATCCGACCACTCGGCCGGGGGAGGATCTAAAAGGAAAACAACTTCACAGTGAACATGTGCCAAAACCTTTGGTTGTCTTAAAGTCTGTTCACACGATTCAATTTGTTGGATACAATTCCCTTCTGATGGATGTTTTATACTCTTTTCACTTGCAATGTATATAAGCAGCAAACAAACTAAAGCTAATACGGTACTGTTTTATCAATATTCCAATACATTCCATACGTCAGAAGTGAATTGGATGCGATAAAATTTGATCTACTTATGATCTGAAATGTAGGTTATACGAGTTGCAAACTGGAGAACAAAAGCTACAAAATGACAATCGGAAAATTTTGGTATGCATTGTCAAGTGAATCTGGTACCTGGACATACCTGGACATTCGACGTAATCGTATTCATTGCAAGGCATCACTTCAATATTATGACCTATGCAATAACTTCCACCGTTTCTCTGAACTGGATTGTTACAAACTCTGGTTCTAACTTCTTGCTGGTGACCGCATGTTTTACTGCACAGAGACCAATCAGTCCACATGGACCAACCTCCGTTCACTGCAAAATGCAAATAAGCGATGGAGACAACTGTTGATTGTTATTGACAGAGAAGTAGATAATTGTATGAAATTGGAGGTAGTTGTTGTGAGATGGAAGTAGTTGCTGATAGATATGGGTAGTTGTTAATAAATGTTGATAGTTGTTGATAGATATGGGCACTTGTTGCTAGATGTTGGTAGTTATTATAGAAATGAACTTTTACTCGCATTTTATTCGTTAATTACACTAAAATTTTGATGCATTTTACAGTAGTAAGCGTATGTTAAATCTGATAAATCTGAAGAATATGTTATCTGAGCAAGTTGTTCATCTGCAGTATTGCTAAAAGTGCAGTTAATTGAGAATAAGTGGACGTCAAGGTTGGTACGTAATAAAGTTTTAACGGCGCTTGCGTGCTGAAAATACCAGACGCAACCACCAAGGCTTACTATTATATCCATGTATATATCCTAATTCCTCAGTTGGCCAATAAGTTACGTGTTTTGTCCGCAATCTACGTCACAGCGGGGTTTTTTATAAAGTCTATACATCACAATGTTTAAGGTCAATTATTTCAGCTTAAATCGGAAAGACAAACGAAATGGATGCATAACTCTTTTACCTGGGCAAAGTTGTGTTTCACAGCTCATCGTGACGTTAGTAAGACTCTGACAGGAACTTTTGTCCTGCAGGATACATTCCCGTGTTTTGTGCATCACACCCTCACACCCAGACGAGCAAGCAACCCAGCTGGTCCAGGTGGAGAAATCCGCATCATCTACACAGAGACATTAATCCTATTTAGTAATTTACAATGGACCCGCAGTGATAGGTGTATACGATTTTGAGACCCCCGTCATTTGCTTGTTCCAAAACATAAATGAAAAAAAGAATACAAAAAACTACCTTGAAATTTACCACCCCCTCCCATAATCTTAAACATAAAGAGCCCTTACCTGGACAATTGGCTGCATTCTCACATTCTTTCATCTCGTAGAGTGGTCCCAGACAATCGCTCCCTCCAAACAATGGTGGAGGATTGGTACAATTGCGATATCTGGAACGTGTTCCAAATCCACATGACGTCGTACAGGCTGACCAATCTGTCCACGGAGTAAAGCCGCCGTTCACTGCAAGAAACATTGGCATTAGAAGCCTGACAGTTTCATTAGTGAAGAAAGACACAGAAGGTCAGCTTTTGAAATATTGGATCATACCGCAAAAAAGTAGGTTAAATTACACTTATACCTAACGGTACCTATTTTCGCATTCCCTTTTAGCTTCCGGCATAAAATTTTCTGCATAAAGTGGAGTTTTCGTTAATTTCATTTAACACTGAGCAAACAAGCGTTAGGAAAGTGAATAATCTTTTGATGTTCATCAAATAAAAGCTTAAATCTCGCGAATTATAGAGAAATCAATGCTGTTTTTACGCACTAAAAACGGAAGCAGAGAAACGACACTTTTTTATTTTTGTTTAGTTTTTATGTTATTTCGAACGGTAAATTTTTTCGTTTCGTAAAAATTTCGTACCTATGCATGGTTCATTATAACACTTTATGCTTTGTCCTGTGGGTTCGGTGCAGTATGGTTCTTCCTGTGGTGGATAATTAGGTACAACGGTGCAAAAACGTGTTCTGTTCTGTCTTCCTTCGCCACATGAAACACTACATGATCCCCAGTTACTCCACTTCGAAAACTCGTCGTCACCTGCAAAGGAAGCCTTCTGTTATTAAAAACGTTTAGATTTGCAAGCTAAACAAAAAAGGTAATGATATTAAGGTATTGAAATGGAAATATAACATGATCATGATAGTCGTGTTACTGGTGTAGTCATTTTGGCAACTGTCTTGTGTGGTTTCATAAAGATTTCTCTTAAAAAACAAACCTGGGCAATCCACTGGCATAACACAATCAGAGTAGTCATGAGAATTTTCAAAGCAGTCCAGGCCTCCATAGGATGGTACGGGATTGGTACAAGTACGAGATCGTTCTTTTACTCCAGAACCACAGGACGCACTGCAGGAACCCCACTTCGACCACGCCGCCCAATTACCATGTACTAGAGGGTGAAGTCAAGATTTGTGCTTTCATTTTGCTTTAGCCTTCAAAAGACTTATGGTTAGAAAACTCGTTTAAGAAATTCGAAATTTGAAAATGATAAAATGCAGATAAGAGATATTCCTTTGCAAATGTTAGAGTGTTTAATATGAGATTTTCTTTCTAAAAAAATACTTGTTACTATAGACATGTTGCTTGCAGACAATTATACCTATGATGACAAACATAGTACCACATGCAGGCAACAAAACGCATCAAAAGTAAGGCCAGTCTTCACTTAATTTATTTAACACAACAAACATTGCCTATTTGAATACGCAAAATTACTGTTGCGATCGGTATGTCACCACTTCAATATGAACAAATATTTTGTAATTTTTTTCTATAATATTTCAAAAAATATGGCCCAGGTATACATGGAAGTGAAGTCATTGTGATGTTATAGTCCCAGTCACATTGTGTGCATTTTGCCCGAATTTAATGGCGATTTGCAACGAATTTGCCAAGAGATATGATCAAATGACTAATCCAGACAGCAAATATAACGTTACATTTGATACAGACAAAACAATTGGTATTTTAAGCGAATAAATTTTATAAACAATCTGTATTTATTCAAATCTATATTTTGGTTATATGTTGCTTTCAAAAGCTCATGGAAATAGCTAATGAAAATACATAACCTAGAACATGTTTTAAATGAAAGCATTTAACAATGCCCTACCTGGGCATAGCCCTTTGTCACATGGTTTACTTTGACTGGATTCTGCGGTACATAGGCTGGGATCCGAACCGCTTTTACACTTTCTTGTTCTGATATGCGCACCTTTACCACAAGTTTGAGTACATAGTGTCCACTGTGACCATTTATCGTAACCTGCTTCACCTGAAAAATGAAATGTGGAAATTCATCCACAAAATCTTCAGAATATTAATTTTTAAGCATATACTCCGCCTCCTTTCTTTTGAGTTTTGGATTTAGGCAAGAAGAGGAAAGTTAAAAAAAAAACCAATGAATAAAACCGCAAGCTTTGGTTGCCAAAAAAACAAGAAGAGAGAGTAATCAATTTAGGGCGGGTGGGCCAGCCATGGTATGGGGGAAGTGCAGAAGGTGTAAGGAATATTAAAATGTATATTTGTTTGCAAACTTTGAATTAAAATGCGATGGTATTTCGATTTTCAAGTTCTAATGCAAGTTTCTAAACTCACACGTAGCCTACTTTAAAACAACAATGACACCAACACACCTGAGCAGGGAGTGGTATGCTGACAATCCTGCACATCTGAGCTTGCCCCAGAACATCCAGCCCCGTTATATGCAGGCTCAGGGTTAGTACAGGTTCTCAAACGATTTTGAAGACCAGAACCACAGAATCCACTACAAGATGACCACGACAACCACTCTGTATAATTACCATCAACTGGAAGCAATCGATAATTCGTAAGTGTTATAGGTAGTGGTTATGAGCCAGTTAGCTTAACCTGGGTTAGTGCAAATTTATAAATCAAACTTTATAGCATTTTATTATTTAGTTGCAAAGGTTTCACAAATCCTCCCTGGTCGAATGGAGATTCTATTTTCTGAAATCCTAACAGAACGGGTACCATTAATACATAACCAGCAGAAATTGAACCGATATGATAGTTAGCGCTGATCAGGCTTTCAAAAGCTGGCGTTCCTTCCCTAGTAGATAGTAATGGTCTGTTCGGAGGATCTAATTTTGTCTGATCCAATTCACTTCTGATGGATGTTTTATAGTTTGTTGACTTGCAATGTATATAGACAGCCAATCAAGTAACGCCAATGCAGTACTACATTGCATACATCAGAAGTAAAATGGATCCGACGAGATTGGATCAAGTGAGCAGACCTCAAGACAAAAATCATTAGTCGTGTCTTACCAGGACATGGTCCGGAATCACAACTGATATTCTGGTAAGATGTTCCATTACAAGTAACCTTGGTCTCGTCCGTGCACTCTCTCCTGCGAACACTCTCACCGAGTGAACATTGGGAGTCACATGCAGACCACTGGGACCAGATTGTAAACCCAGATTCATCTATAATCGAGACAAATATAAAATTCGTTCAGAACAAAACAAAACTTATATGTGGGTCGTTAGAATTGCGCTTTGTTGGGGTTTTTTCATACAAACATGAATTAGAAGCAAGTTTAAATTGAGTACATACCTGAACAAATAGTTGGCACAGAGCAAAATTGATCTTCCTTGTCTAAGCCTGAACAATCGCTTCCATTATAAGCCGGCTCCGGATTGGTGCATTCTCGTGTTCGATGAATAACGCCTGAGCCGCAAGGTACTAAGCATCTTGACCACTCGGTCCATTCCGTGAAGTTTCCATGAACTACAAAAAAAATTCTTCGCGATAACTACCACGTCATGCAGGGGAGTAACCTGGGGATAATTGCCGGAGGATAGATTTTTGCATGAGGAGGAGAAGGGAATTTTTCGTTGAAGAACACTTTTATGATGAACGCATACTTGAGAGTATACGATATTAGGGACTTTAAGATGTGGCATGACACTGGACTACCGACAACGGTTACGTTGAATTGTTTTTGACCACTGCTTGCGAATACTAAATACTTGTCATTTCAAATTTATCCCGGATGATTTTATACGCAGAAGCCTCGTTTTTTGTAAGTTTCAAACCTTTACAGACTCTTCCCTTGCTACCAAAGCAATTCTCCACAACTAACGGTCAGTTGCAAATGATCAGTTTCGTTACGTTCTTTATTCCACTGCTACGACAGAATAATACGCTTATTATGTCGTACTCAAAGCCGCAGGTGTAGATTATACCATTAGGAATATTCAAATTTTGTTTCCCTGACTGTTTGTCTTAGTTTAAGCACTTTGAAAACAAGGTCTTAACGATAGCCCGTGCCCGTTGTTCGTTGTGTAATCCTAAAGTCCCTATTCTCAAAGCAGGTGCTGTACCTGGGCAATGTGGCATCAGGCATTGCAGAGTTTCCGAAGCAGGGCCAGTACAGCCGCTACCACTTTTATCAAGACAATGACGCGTTTTTGACTTGGTCCCAGGACCACAGGTAACACTGCAGGGCGTCCAGCTTGACCAATCTGTGTAGCTATCATCACCTATACAGTAAATGTGCTATTCGTAACATTGAATTGGTGCGCCAATAGAAATGAATTGGTGGAAATGTCAGGTTGGGGAAAGGGCAAAGAGGTGCTTTGGGGAATGGAGGGTGCTGCCTTAAATATCGCACAGCTGGAGTTTTTACACATTATAAATTTTCGCAACAAAATTTTACGAATTTTACTAATTTTTGTCGTGCTCTTTCACCATTTGCCTTCAAGAAGAAAGTGTGAACTATTTCACGCGTATGTTTACGTTTAAACATTACAGATTTTAGATCATTATTCCACTTTCAAACTAAAACGTTACGACATGTTTTGAAACAAAGTATTATGTCTTTCAAACAAACCTTGACATGTTGCCATTTCACATTCCCGAATCAACTGCTCTTCCCCAACGCATATTTTCCCTCCATGTTGTGGGGTTGGATTATTACAAGAACGCATCGTTTTTTCCAGGCCAGTACCACAGGTCTTAGAACACGAACTCCACGCTGTCCAGTCTGAAAATCCTCCGTCCACTATGAAGAAACAAAGAACATTGTCGTTGTGGTTATTGATGCTTTTGTTATTGCTGTGGCTGTTGTCATGGTTATTATTGTTGTAAGTTGTGATTATTATTGTTGTTGCCACGGTTATTGTTGTTGTTGTTATTGTTGTTGTTGTTATTGTTGTTGTTGTTATTATTGTTGTTGTGATCATTGTTGTTGTGGTTCTTGTTGTTGTTGTGGCTATTATTGTTCTTGTTTTTGTTATTATTGCGGTTGTTGTTATTGTGGTTAATGTTGTGTTTGGCATTGTTGTTGTTTTCGTTCTTGTAGTTATCATTGTCGTCGTTGCGGTTATTATCATTCTGTGGTTATTATTGTTATTGTTGTTGTCACTGTTATTATTTTTGTTATGGACTTGCTTCGCACGCTGGTAAAACGTTTACTACAGTATCATACCGGGGCAATGGGCATCATTACAATCTGCGGTTTCGTTTGTGTCTCCCTTACAAAAGGAGTCCCCTGGGTCGGCCATTGAACATTTTCTAGCACGCGTCTTTTTGCCAGGTCCACAGGTCACACTGCAGGAGCTCCAGGCAGACCATTCCCCAAAACCAATATCCCCTGAAACAGAATGAGGTGTTGTGTACCAGCATGTATGGGTTGGATAGATTTTCTTACATAATATTCCTAAAGAAGATTTGCAGCAATCTTGACACTCAAAATTTGCGATTTCTGTAAATTTGAGCAGGTTAAATGAATGCGCCATCCTGTCTCATTACTATCTATGAAATATCAGTCTTCTAACCTTTGGTCAACACACACTAAACGCAGTTTGACGATGGGAGGAAAATATTAGTTTTTACCAAGCGACATTCATTCTCTCTACTCTTCTTAACCTTCACTCCAAACTCTCCACTCTTAAAATTTTTACTCTTAACCCTCTATTTGCTAACCTGAACACATCACAGATGCAGAACACTCCTTGGTCTCTTTTAAAGGTTCCTCGCAATCCTTTCCACCATGGGCTGGGGCTGGATTGCTGCATTCTCGACGGCGTACCAACTCCCCTGTGCCACACGTAACCGAACAAGCTGACCAATTTCCCCATTCCGTATACCCTCCGTCCACTGAAATACAAAATAAGCTTCATTCTACTGTTTACTCCATTGAGGAGGGGGGGCGATGAAGAATTTGTGCGAATCAGTGAAATGTAATAAAATTTGGAACGCAAACTCCTATAGTCCAGCGATATAATTGGTTGAAGCAAATAATTGAAGAAAAAATTGTGTTTTTGACTCCGTTCTAAACATTCCTAGTTAATTACTTTATACGTCTGTTCCAAACGTTGAAAAACTCCTCCTTAGAAAAACTACCTTCAAATTTGCCTTAGTTAGTCAAGTTAGCGGTCCAGTTTTTATCACAGTTCACTGGTGCAAAAAACTATACATGGAACACACTCAAAAGCTACAGGAAAAATAGCCAATGATTAGCCGTCGTTTGGCCAAATGGGTACTTGTTTTTGTGTTCCCAGAATATTTCTCAGGCTAAAAACCCTGAAATTTTTACACCGTAAATCAGTTTTTAATAGCCTCAGTTTGGTGTACACATAAAGCGTGAACGCAAATAAAACAAAATGTTAGAAAATAGAAATATGTATTCAAACGTACCAGGTGCTACGGACGAAGTCTTGGTGGCTGTTCCAGGCGGGGCAATTGTGCCTGGCTCCGCTTGGGCGGTGGGTTGTGGTGTGGGAATTACAGTTGGTGATGGTTCGGGGGAAATTGTGGGATGCAATTGTGCAGCGGTAGCGGGTGATGGTTGGGGGGAAATTGTGGGATGCAATTGTGCAGCGGTAGGGTCTACGGTAGGGTCTACCGCTGAAGAAGGGTCTTCTTCACTAGCACGAGATCGTCTTTGATTATCGTCGGAAACAACGGTAGCTGTTGGGATAACTGGACTGCTTAATCTTCCCTCTAAAAAAATCGAAAAAAGTTTTTATTAAACTAAAACACCAGCATCACGATGATGCAAAAGCCTATATTATTTCACTACATACTAGTTAACACTTGACCGCACGTAATACAAACGTGCGGTCTTCCTATAGCTATATTTTTCGCGATCTACAAAATTTCGCAACTAAACTTTGCGATTGTAATAATTTTAGTATAATTAATTTTCCTCCTTGTTCCATTCGTTTTTGAACATTCAGCGAATTTTTTATAATTTTCAGTAACCCAATCAGAATGCATAAACATTCACTACCCAGCATAACGGTACAGTATTCACTATTTTACATGAAGTATAAACAAATTTGCCTGAACAAATTTTCCGATTATAGTTCAAAACGAAATGTCGTTTGGTTTACGAAATACTGGAGATTGCTCAATACCATATAGATAGAGCAAATATAAAAAGCATTGCTTACCAAAAATAGCCCCGCTACAGTCTGTTTCATCCGTTTAAGAATGATTACTACTAGTTAAAATACGAGCGGCCAAGCAGCGAGTGCGCAGGACTAGCCATTGTAAACCCCATACAGATCCACCGCGAGTATTTTAACGTGCTCGTGAAATGAATAAGAGCAAAATGCATATTAGGGAATGTGTGTAACAAAGTTATGAATACTAATTAAGATTAGTTGTATCAAAGTTAATATATGAATTACTAATTCACAAGACTTTAAGGCGCATATAGCGACTCTTAATTCATGAGATTTTATGGCGACTTTATACTGCGAAATGTTTGAAATTTAGAAAATTATACATGAATTTCACAATGCGATTTTCCTATACGGATGAAACAGACTGTATGGACGATTTTTGGTGAGCAATACTTTATACATATTCTTCTATATACTATATATTATTTTTACCATCACTCCGGGATCCTGATATACCAGCAGCACTAGATCCTGTTTGACCACGACTGGAAACGGTAGCAGTTGGATGAACTGAACTGCTTTTTGCTTTCTCTAAAAAATCGCGAAAAGTCTTTACTTAACTAAAACACCGACATTATGCGATGACAGCAAAAGCCTATACTCTGTGACAACACATGCACTACACTTGCTCTCCAGCCATAGCTATCAGGCCATATATACAACTCGAGCTCGCAGTATCATTGTTAAATATACAGTATGTATCAGGAAAAAAAAAGCTAGATTTTAAAACGCTCAGAAAACGATCATTTGATCAAAAATATCTTAGCATCTCCGGGCTTGTCTAACTGTAAAAACGTTTTGATAAAATTTAACCATGAACGAGCACAAAGAAAATAAGAGCTTCAAAATCTAAATTCGTTTAAAGAAGTAAAAGTTTTAAGGATTGTGTAAGTTCAGGATATAAATATATTACAGCAGGCTGTATTTTTATCGCAACCTTCACACGCATCTGCAAAAACGTCTACTAAAAATGTAGCAAAAGAAAATAATGTATAGGAAAGTTACTCGCATGTGATTAGTCAATAATGCAGAAGGCCAATTTATACTTAATTCAGAGCGAAATTACTTCACGCTGATTGGTGGTGTCTGAATGTGTTTCTTTCCAGAGCAACCACGCTCAGGAGATATTGGTATACATATACAGGTTTTTTGTGCCGAAATGATGAAATGACACTCAAAAGTACCACAGTTTTGAACGAATTTAGTTAGGTTTAGTTTAAGTTTTGGTTGCGGCGGACGTATATACACTACCTTTGCAGATACCAGAAACGTCTTCAAAGCCTTCTTTACATTTGCAAGTCCACGTTGACGATTCATTACAGTAGGTGGTGTTTTTATTACAATTTTCACATGGATCTACATTTAAAACAAAAATATTATTTAAGAGTCGACTGAAAACCGCAACACATCAATTACCAAAAACAGCAAGAGAATAGTAATAATAATTTACTTAGGCGGCTCTCTAAAACTCGGCAATTTTTATGGGATTCCACATGCAGAAACTCGGGCAATTTTTGGTGTGATATTTTATTTACTCGTGACTTTGTAATTCGAGGGCAATGCTCGAATGCCTGCATCCCAAAACGTTTTAGACCCGTACGCTTATATATTTCAGTCTTTATAGAGTTATATAACTGGGTTTTCATTTCATATACTAGAGCAACAGTAAATTGGGAAAGATACTAATTATTTCACGCTGGCTGGACTGGCGCACCTTCATATAAGCTGCGTTTACACTAGAGGCCTAGATCTGGCCTGGAGCGGGTCTAGGACGAGTCTGGATAATATGTACCAGGTTCACACTGTCTTTCTTGTTGATGGTATCGCGTAGCCAAGATAATTGACAAAATACTCGGAAAAGACCCCGAATATGCCAAAAAGTTGTAACACTCTTATGAATCCTATACAGATTATACTATTAAGTTGAAAATTTTTCAGGACTGGGTTAATCCCGTTCACATTACGAAAATCGTGCTCCAGGTAAGATCCAGGCCACCTTCAGATAAATAACGTTCACATCTAGGCCTAGACCTAGTCCTACACCTAAGCCTAGACCTGGTCCTACACCTAGAACTAGACCTGGTCCTACGCCTAGGCCTATAGACCTGATCCTACACCTAGGCCTAGACCTGGTCCTACACCTAGGCCTAGACCTGGTCCTACACCTAGGCCTACCTGGTCCTACACCTAAGTCTAGACCTGGTCCTACACCTAAGTCTAGACCTGGTCCTACACCTAGGCCTAGACCTGGTCCAGGCCAGGTCAAAGCACACAGTGTAAACGCGACTGTAAATACACCGTTATAGAACAAGAGACATACCATAATGGCAGCCAAAGAAATCAACTCGCATACAGATCGACATATGCCATTCTTGCGGAATAATCTTCAACATCCTCGTAGAGAATGATTGCCCAAAGAAGTGAACTTGTGGTGTGTTAAAGTCGTAATTTCCGGAGATAGTCTTAAAAGATTAAAAACAACTTTAAACGAGTCACACTGACGGTGTTTTTAAGAGGCTACAGTTCACCTGGGGTTTGTTTGAACGGGAAATAATTGGCGAAAGAAACAAGAAAACAAATACACAAACAGACCAAAAATAGGCAAATCATAGAAACAAACAAACAAATCAACAAGAAAAAGACAAATCATACCAAAAAACAAGCAAAAAATGCACAAACAATCAAACAGACAGACTGGCACAAAAACAGGCAAATCGTAGAAACAAACAAGCAAACAAAAACACAAAACAGACGGACAGAAAAATAGACATATCCTACAAAAACAAACAAGCAAAAAAATGCACAAATGAACGTACATCAGTGAATAAAACAAGAAGGAAAGCAGAAAAATAAAAGGTAGTTTATACTCACTCGAATTCCGTTAATTTTAACCTGATGCCAATTTACGCCATTCCAACTGTGATCCAGATAGAACGATTTCACCCAACTGTTGGGAGAGGTCACTCCTTTTGTTGCAAGAACGTTAATCGTGTAAAATTTTGGCAGTTCAATTTGTAAATATTCGTCAGTCGTGTTGCTATAACGACTACACCAGCCTAAGTCATTCCACCTGGCTTTATGTGGCTCGTGTGATGGAAGAAAGGTCTTCGCGGTAAAGCTACTATGTTGTATTTCTGCGTTATTTGCCAATACAAACTGACTCAGAGTTTCTATAAATACAACATCAAGGTGTAAGTACTATTTTACTTACCTAGTGGGCATTGGTATATCTAAGGGAGGGAGGAGAGGGGGCACTGAAATTAACGATCGCTTACTTCATGTAGCCGCCGCCCAAATCCGTGGATGAAATTATAAGCCGAAAAAAGAGGAAAACAAGTATATTCCACGTAATAAGGATGTGTCTGTATTAGCCGTGGATGAAATTCCGGCCCGTGGATGAAATTATAATCAGTAAGGATGTGTCTGTATTATCGAGATGTTCTTATTGAAACATTTCTTAATTCGAGCTGTCTGTATTATAGAGAAATGTCTGTGTTAGACACAAATGTCTATACTAGAAGTTTAGGAGACATGTCAGAAAAGTTTTCTTATTAGAGACAGGCTGGTAGTATCCTTTTAAAAAAGATGATCGTATTAGAGACTGCTTATTCAAAAGATATGTTCGTATTACAAATGGGTCCTTATTACAGAGGTGTAAGTATTAAAGAGGTGTCCTTATTAGAGAGATGGCAGTATTAGAAAGTTGTTTTATTTGAGAGATTGTCATCATTGTCATAATTAGCCGAATTCATTCATGTAGGCCAACGCCACCCGTCCTAATATGAATAGGGATAGATAATTTACACGTATGATGGGTCGGGTAATGCTAAAAAAGGTATCGTAATCATTACGATAGTAATTTTGTTTATTTTCTCTTAGCCTTGTTCTGTCCATGATCGTGTGGATATTTCATCTGTGTATAAATGCGATTTAAGACGAGTTTCTTGTCCAGACGGGATGCCCGTTCAACTTAACTGTCTGTATAGACGGGAAAGTTAGCCGGGAAAATTCGGACGAGAAACCCGTCTGTGACCAGACTCACACCAGAGTTTCCCTTCCAAGACGAGTTTCCCGTCTGTTCATTCGGCTATTAGAGAGCTTACGCAAACAGGACGGCACCTTCGTAATGGCGTGTGTAGATAGCGTTGCTTCCGCTTTGCTAACCATATATATAATATATGCACATTTTAGCAAAAGCGGCAGCAACGCCATTTCTTACACGCCATTACGAAGGCGCCGTCCTGTTTGCGTAAGCTCTCTATTGTCGTAAGCACGACCGTAAGTTACGATCAAACAAGTACGAAACATATTCGCTTACCTTCGTTTATTCCATATAATTCCAATCTCATGCATTTGTCGCCGCCGACGTTGCTTTGAATTGCTTGCAACATGAACTCCCATTTGGGGATATTTTTGTCAAAGTAATGTCCCCGAGCAGTTGTGGCATCGAAGTTTCCTGCAAAACTTTCCCAATTCGTTGGGTTTTGAACTTTATATTCTGTCACCCAGGATGACCCGTATCCTAAGGTATGAATGGCAATAACCAAAGTTACACCACCAAACCCTATTCTTAATGTTGGCACACTTACTCCCGCGTCTGCGCACCAGGCGCTTACTTTATTACTCAATCGAACTTTTTTGCCTTCATAATTAATATTGTAATGGTCCGCAGAAATCGAATGATCTGGAATTCTATTAGGATTCGCCACACCCAAAGATGGTAAACAACCAGTTAATCTCGTCGCTACAACGAAAGCAGAATATTCCTTTAGAATACGACATAGATAGATTGCAAACACTCATTATAGCCTATCATCCAACCATCCTTCGCAAATGGTGTTTTCACAGTGTCTCCGTAATGTTAAAATGATACTTGCGGGCGAACGGGTGGGAGGTGGCGCCTGCAATCTCTAGCGCCCGCCCGGCATTACCACTAATGCTACTAGCGCCAATAAAGATTCCGAACGCGAATTGCCAACGCGACGCAGATTTTCAGTTTTTTGAGGCAAAATATATTCAATTCTGGAAGGAAATTTGATAGCTATGGGCTCCAGACATGTCAAATTTTTGATATGTATAATGAATTGCGCATGTTTATTTAAGTAAATATCGGTTTTAACGCCAATCACTGGTCTGAAGAACAAAGAGGAATTTCGTTCTAAACTAATCGCCATATTTGTTTACATTTTTTCGGAAAAGCCAATCAGAGTGCCTAAATTTCAAATGCTTCATGTAAAATGGTATATATTGTACTTTTTTGTACATCAAAATTTATGCACTCTGATTGGGTTACTGAAAATGTAAACAAACTTGCTGATTGGTCTGAAGCGAAAGCTGTGCATTTAAATTGAATTTTTTCATTCTATTTCACGGTCGACATCGTAAAATTCTCTGGATAGTATGCTAAACGAAATAAGGCATTCGCAACAGGTAAATAAGGCATTCGCAACTAATTCTTTCCTTCTGCAATGGTAAGTTTTCGGTATTTATTACACTACACACAATTTTTGGTAAGGTACGGATGAATCGTACGGGTGAAATTTTAATTTTTAAACTATTAAATAGTTAGCCAAACTTCAACCGTACCAATTCTACTATGTTCGATTTCAATTGCCGCCCCAGTGCCTGGGTACCTTTACTGGATAAATTCTAATTTAGTTGTCTCAAAGTGTCAGACAAATTATCAGTATAAGAATAAAATAATTTTAACTTTAAAACAAACAAAATACTTACGAAGCTCACAACGCTGGCCTTCAAAACTCCATGGACAGTGACAAAGAAAGCTATGTACATCACTTTCTTTGCAAGTTCCTCCGTTCTGGCAAGGTTTATTTTCCGCACAGTAATCTGAAAAGAAATTATATCTTTACTCCTTGCCTGACTGCCTGCCAATCAGCTGATATGAGATCATAACGTCATGAGGCGCCTCGACTGAGCTATCATGCGCCTGGAGTCATTTGTTCTTCCCACTTGTAGTATAAAGAGCGAAAAATGAGAATTCTAATTTACATAATTTGAAAAAAAATTCACAATTGAAGAGGTCAATTGACGAAACCACATTGTATTGTCGCCTAGTTTGTATTTTATTTTATTTTATTACATTTTGTTTTTCAACTAGGCTTTCAAACAATTACTTTTTAATCAACTGTTTCAAGTGTAGAAAGCCAAACATTTTACATCGAATATGAAAACCAAAGCAGTATTCGGCATTTGTTCAACCGATCTGGCACAACCCTAGCCGTCAACGGTCTAATCTTCAAGACAACGTTTCCAAGTTTGAAAAATTTCATCACACCGCAGCACTGCAAGTAATATGTGTATAGTATACGATACTTAATACAAGGCAAAAATCGCATTTAATGACAGTACAAAAGCTTTTTTATCATTGCACAAAATCTCTCAAAGTACTGCACAAAAATTTCTTTTTTACGGCACAAAATATCTTTTATCATTGCACAAACAAGGGCGAATTTCGTCTTAGACCAATCAGCAAGTTTGTTTACATTTTCCGTAACCCAATCAGAATGCATAAATTTTCACTACTTCCGGTAAAAAGGTAGCTACATTTATATTTACCATTTTATATGAAGTATTTCAATTTAGGCTGAAAAATGTTAACAAATATGCCGATTTGTTTTTATAGTTTAAAACGAAATTCCTCCTAGTTCATTGCACAAAATCTCCTTTATAACTGTACAAATTTGTTATCATTGCATGCACCTGGGAATAATCCTCACTTCAAGATAAACACCTACCGACAAAACTTCGAATTCTTACCGTAATGACAGGCTTTGATGTCAACGCGAGCACATTTGCCATAATTCGGATCCTCTCTAAAGTATCGGAACAGTAATTTAACCCCGGACGTTATACGAGGTTCGATGTAATGGTAGATCGCATCGCCAGGTTTATGTGGGCCACGTAACGTCTGAAAATATGAAACGAATTATAAAACGAATAATAAACAATTATTGGATGAGGTTTTTGTGATATGCAGAGTTATCAAGGTCGAGGTAAACCTCGCCTTCGGCTCGGCTGATACCGCTTACCTCGACCTTGATAACTCTGCACATCACAAAAACCGAATTCAATATTTGTTTTATTATACATTTCAAGAATAGTAAACATAGTATTAACGAATGAAAAACCTTATTTAATAGCAACATCCAAAAATACATCAATTATTCAGACATAAATACATTCAAATGAATACAGCAGGCTCACTTGCGGATAACTGAATTTTGCGTGATTGTGCGATTTATCTGTCAACTATTAGCTAATCAAATTGTTTTTACTACTATAATGTATAATAATAGTGTTTATTGTTTAATACAATATTTTTGGATGATGTAGCTACCACCCAACAAAGGAGAATTCACCACAAAGGAGAATTCGATTGTGGAAACCAAACTGGGAACAGTCTTAGTTATTGTTATTGTTATCAGTTATTGTTATTTTATAAAACAATTACTTCATGGTTTCTGTGTTTGGATGGCGTGATTGTCTCAGTTTTGAGCTGAAATACTTGACGCCAGACGTTGGGCTGTCTGTCAAATTAAAGCTATTGAAAAATTATATTTGATGTGGAAATTTCAACACTTAGACTACAAAGGAAATGTATAGAAAAACAGAAACAATTACCAACCGGCAAAAAACCGGGAAATTTTCAAATATATTTTTAGATACTTCCCTTTAAGTTAAGATCGAAATTTCTACACGAAATGGAACTTTTTAATAGCTTTAGTTTCATATACGGCTCAACAGTTGGCGTCAAGTACTTTACCTCATAACTCAGAAAAGGTAAACAGCATTCAATCAACATGGCTTCCCCCCCCTGAGTTATCGTTCCAGTTGGTTTACAGTTCAGTGGTGATACGTGAGAACCAGAGAGAGCCTCCTGATGATGCCAAACAAATAAAAATACAAACTTACAAGTTGTGAATTGATTCTAATTTCCTGCCAACCACCAGTTTCCAAGCGGGTTGAAACTTGGACGACCTTGGCATATGACATGATGGAGATATTCGAGGCTGTTCCAAAACCAAATCCATAAAGACGTATTTCGCTAGCGAAATTTATTTCTAGCCAAGGGTCATTTATTTTTTTCGAGCACCATGCTCCGACATCACTCAGTGAATACGTTCTAAAGCCATCTTCAAAGCCTGCAGGGACAACTTCGTGAGGAATTTCCGTCCACGTTGTAGGGCACGCTGTAAAATATATCAACAATCGGATAATGCGAAATTTCCTCCAGGTGGAACCCGCATGCCTGCAGAACTACTCATGAAGGTAGTCATGAGACTTTGTTGGAATATAACTGCGCATTACTGTCAGAATTCACATGTTTGCTACCGACTATTTCCACTATTCAATGGGGTCCTTCATTTCCCACCTTTTCCCTGTTGGTACCCGCATACCCTTATACCCGTAGCTTACACGCAACTGCCCTAAATGAAAAAGAACATATCCAAATATTCGTAACACGAAGAGATCTTACCGAAAACTTCACAGTGAAAACCACTAAATCCATTGTTACAGGCACAAGTGTATCCGCCGGCTCCATTTCTATTACACGTTCCCCCATGTTGACACGGATTTGAAAGACATGGATTCGGGCGTGTATCTAAACAGAACGTGTTAATTGTGGATAGTAATATTCCAGATTGGCCGGAGTTTAGGGTATGTACACAACGGAACCTCATTCCAGTGCACTTCACAGATCAGTTGGGCCCAAAGTAGGGCGCTGATCTGAAAGATTTTTTTAACAATGTAATGATGAAAAGCTGTACTTAAATTGAAAGGTGTATTTTTTGTACGGGTGTATTCTAGGGCCTGTTTTCCACTTCAACCGTATCGTAGCGTAACGTAGCGTATTTCTTTGTTTCCGACTATTCAACCAGAACTAATGACTTTAAAACAATGAGATACGCTACGTTTCGCTACGATACGGTTGAGGGGAAAACTGCCTTAACGCCTAGTTTAAATAAATTCGACCTTCTAAATTAGAGGGGCCCATTCACATTCATTTTACCTCGGCAAACGCACGGAACGGGAGGTTCTCAAACAGACTTGCAAATTCACAGAATACAGTACACATAATGCGAAGAGCCGGCATCATGATTAAAACACATATTTAGTCACATATTTAAGAATCATGATCCAAAAGGCAATCTATATTGCTGATTATGGTAGCGAAGAGCATTGGACTGCCCCCGTAAGTAAAAGGGCCTGGGGAAGGCTGCGCCCGTGGTTCAGGCGTCACTACCCTTGCCAGAACCCCGCAGAAGTGGGAGGTGTTAGAAGAGATAAAATCTTATGAGGTCCTTTACTTAAACTGATATGCCGTGTTAGAAAAATGTTTAAGTTCCGAGTTTCAAATTCCAGGTACACCCTCCCCCCACCCCAACAGTGCGAATAACTTACCACAGGCGATTAGCTCAAATCTCACACAAGGCTCTACTACCCACGTCTGTGGCCAAATCACCACATCAACATCATTATTCTGAAGTGGTATTGGAGTATCAAAAAAATGAGTCACAATTTCATCCTGATCATGATTCCCATCCAATACCTATAAAATACAACATGATAGTTTTCAAGAAAAAGGCACCGTGCTGGAATGATTCCAAAACCAGGGTAGACCATCGTCATAGAAAGAACCCCTCAGCCCCCCCCCCCTCCGACTATTCTGGTCGTTTATGTAAATCTCTAAGACAATTTTTAAGTATCCAATAACTGATTTCGATCAGCCGACCTGACAAGTCTCAGGAGCTGTTTACATGATCCCGGTTACCCGAGATTCGACGAAGTGTGAGATGATTTTGAGGTATTGAAATAAGTCTTTTTGACACTAATAAAGCACATTCTATTTTTGAGATGACTACACGATCACCAGAATCATGTTATTTACTCATTTCAATACCTCAAAGTCACCTCACGCCTCGTTGAATCTCGGCTAAGCGGGAGGACAGCCCTAAGATAAACAAGAAGTCATCTAGAGTGACGACCTCTTCATCATAAAGAAAATTCACATACCTGATTACCATTAACAGTTACCCTACTCCCTGAAGGCCCAATTTCGTAGGACTTTACCCAACGGTCGTACTGACCTCTCCCCTTTGTCATGACACCAACAATCTATACACAAACGACAAAATCATAGCTGTAATTATTGGCAGCTCAAATTTACGTGATATTTTGAACGCGAGAAATTTTTCGGCAATTTGTCCACATAGCCAGGCGATCGGGAAACGCAGGAATGGACTGGAACTTGTGGTGAAATATAGGAATTAATTTTCTCGATTAAAACAATCGAATATCTCTTGAAATATACTTTTTTTAGGTTCAAAATTTATGTCAGGGCTATAGAAAGGAAACATAATTACAAAATTGATACAGAATAACGAAAAAATAACCCGTTAAACACTGAGAGATGGATTTCTATTCCGACAACCCTTTCTACGCCCTAATTGGCTAAATTTAAAGCGCGAGATCACCGCGGAACATTAATTAACACTTATTTACTGCGAACGAAGGAAACGTTATGTTTTGTGGGCCCGAGACCTGTCGATATTTCACGAGGCGAAGCCGAGCTCTCGACCAATGAAATGCTACGGAAACACCAAACTTTGACAAGTGGTATATAACAATAGCATTTATAATAGACCTTACGCATAATGACGTAACAAGCGAGTCACAACGAGAAATTTTGAAGGTTAATTTTTCGCCGTGACTACCAATACCACAATTCTCTGCAGGCGTCACGGCTTGATACGTCATTATGAAAAAGGCCTATTATAGTTTGTACTTAATTGTTACTAGCACACTCATCTTGGAAAACAGCGTAATGTTGTATGAGGCCAATGTGGCTGAATAAAGTTTACCTATCCACCTATCTTATTCATTTTCACCGATGTGAAATAGTCCAAATATTCAAATCGGTCATTGTTGACTGCACACTATTCTGCTTGGAGGCACATCGGTGCTGCAGTTCCGCAAGGGACTAAATTAGGCCCTCTACTTTTTTTGATCATGGTCAATGACCTCGATCCTCCAAACGATCTTGTCAAATATGTTGATGATTCGACAACGTGGGAAGTCCGGTATAGAGACTCTCAATCTAATCTCCCCTCAACCGTGGAAGCCTGCCAGAAATGGTCATTTGATAATAATATGGCCCTTAATGCCTCCAAAACAAAAGAGATGCGAGTGTGCTTTACATCAAGTCCTTCCTATCCACCAATTCTGATCAACAACCAAACAGTAAACTGGATAACGTAGCAGAAGTGACCCAAGTGTAGTCAGTATACTAAACAATAAGCACGAGTGTCTTACCTGTGAATCACGCCTTGTCACACTTATACCAAGATATGGTTTGGTGAAATTAAGAGTGCACCAGCCACTGTCATCGTTAAGCCTGCTTCTAGGAGGTTTAAGGAATTTATCCTTGTTACCAAAAAACTTTTGATCAGGAAATTCTTCACGATCCCGTACTCCAAGTGTTGCCCAGCAGTTAGCCAGCGATTCATTAGCCAACGCTGAAAATTCGAAGGAAGAGTTTCAGTTTTCTCAAGGTTTACGCATGTCGAAAAAACGTAAAACAATTAAAAGTTTAGTTACTCAAGGTTTAAGACCCGTTTGCAATTTTTGCTGTGGGTTCACCTTGATTTTCTTCTTTTGATGGATGTGAACGAGTGATTAGTTACGAATGCTCAAATATACAAGAGGTTTTATTTCAACATTCGTAAATAATTCACTCTTTTAGTAGAAAATCAAACAAAAGATGGCAGCCAAAATCGCAAGTGTAAATCTTATTCAATAATTATGTCATTCAAGTGGAAATTAAACCATTTACATCGAAATATTTTGAGATTAATGTTGAAATGAGTCTAATGAGTCAATGAGTTTTGAGTCAATCAGTTATGAGTCAAAAAATTTTGCTGCATTTTCCTAACCACAGTTTTGTAACTGCGGATAAAGATTTCGCCTGATTTGAATAAAATTTACCTTCGAATTTCTCGGCTACATTTTACATTATGGCCAACATAACTCTTAGATATATCTCTCTTAGAAGGTTAGATATCTATTCAAGGGACCGCGGAGCGTTTTTCGTATTGCTGGGGCTCGGGACCGCGCGCCTGCTAGGAGAGTCCGGGAAAATTTTAAAATATAGGTCTCTGAAATCGCCGCAAATGCCTCTCAATTTAAGGATTAATGGAAAATAATAGATAGTATGTAAAGTTTCCAGCATGTTTGGCGCTCATAACAAACATTAAACAATATAACCATGCATTGGTTATTATGTCAACTTTTTTGAAATGGATAACCACGCTGTTTTAATGGTCAAATGCTTGTCCTATGTAAAGTTCCCAGCATGTTTGGCGTTCATAAGAAACATTAAACAATATAACCATGCTTTGGTTATGATGTCAAATATTTTGAAATGGATAACCACGCTGTTTTAATCGTCATATGCTTGTCCTATGTAAAGTTTCCAGCATGTTTGGCGCTCATATACAAACATTAAACAATATAACCATGCTTTGGTTATGATGTCAAATATTTTGAAATGGATAACCACGCTGTTTTAATGGTCAAATACTTGTCCAATGTAAAGTTTCCAGCATGTTTGGCGCTCATACAAACATTAAACAATATAACCATGCTTTGGTTATGATGTCAAATATTTTGAAATGGATAACCACGCTGTTTTAATGGTCAAATGCTTGTCCAATGTAAAGTTTCCAGCATGTTAGGCGCTCATATACAAACATTACACAATATAACCATGCTTTGGTTATGATGTCAAATATTTTGAAATGCATAACCACGCTGTTTTAATGGTCAAATGCTTGTCCAATGTAAAGTTTCCAGCATGTTTGGCGCTCATATACAAACATTAAACAATATAACCATGCTTTGGTTATGATGTCAAATATTTTGAAATCGATAACCACGCTGTTTTAATGGTCAAATACTTGTCCAATGTAAAGTTTCCAGCATGTTTGGCGCTCATATACAAACATTAAACAATATAACCATGCTTTGGTTATGATGTCAAATATTTTGAAATGCATAACCACGCTGTTTTAATGGTCAAATGCTTGTCCAATGTAAAGTTTCCAGCATGTTTGGCGCTCATATACAAACATTAAACAATATAACCATGCTTTGGTTATGATGTCAAATATTTTGAAATGCATAACCACGCTGTTTTAATGGTCAAATGCCTGTCCATTGTAAAGTTTCCAGCATGTTTGGCGCTCGTATACAAACATTAAACAATATAACCATGCTTTGGTTATGATGTCAAATATTTTGAAATGGATAACCACGCTGTTTTAATGGTCAAATGCTTGTCCAATGTAAAGTTTCCAGCATGTTTGGCGCTCATATACAAACATTAAACAATATAACCATGCTTTGGTTATGATGTCAAATATTTTGAAATGGATAACCACGCTGTTTTAATGGTCAAATGCTTGTCCAATGTAAAGTTTCCAGCATGTTTGGCGCTCATATACAAACATTAAACAATATAACCGTGCTTTGGTTATGATGTCAAATATTTTGAAATGGATAACCACGCTGTTTTAATGGTCAAATGCTTGCCCTATGTAAAGTTTCCGGCATTTTGGCGCTTGTATTGCTTGTAAATTTGAGCGAACTAAAAAATATTCGAAATTAAAGACTAATTACGGAAAAATTATTGGTGGGGCTAAAGCCCAGCGAGCCACCCTGCTCCGCGGTCCCTGTATTCGTTTGATAAGTACTATACATCATTCGTGTCCGTGTTGTATCAGAGATAAAAACACTCGCCTTCGGCTCGGGTTTGTATATCTACTGATACAACACGGCCTTTCATGTTATATATTGGGTACTTATTAAACAGTTATTTAGGAGGGCATTTATTGCATTATGAAATTCGGGGATCAAAATAAAAATGTGATGCATGGGATAAGCAGATCTTCACTAACGTTCAATTTATTAACTGATATACAAGTTCGGACGGGTTTTAAACACAGCTATCACGTCAGGATTCAAGATCAAAGTTGTAAATATTCATATAAACCAATTTCAAATGTTCAAAAAAAGTTTATGGAAACTGTCAAAAAATATCGGAATCAGTCGCAAATGTTCAAAAGCGACTTACTGCGGTGACTGCATTGTCCTACCTTGCATGTACATATGAACCCTTGAAGTACTATTGTATTAATACTGGATAATTATTGAAGAATATACTTCTAACCAGACCAATGCAAATAAAGTTCATACAGACAATGAAAAGTTCACAAATCTGTAATATAATATAAATCTTAAGGGTGGTTTGGAACACCGTACCAGTAACGTACTAACCAACTGAAAATATGAAAATAACAACGTAAATTCGTAAACCATAAGTTCGAAAAATCCAGCTGACTTGAGCTGACTCATAACTCATCGACTCACAACTCATAGACTCATTTGACTCACAAAGCAGGCGTTCTCAAATATTTTAGCTCAGTTCTTCAAAAAATGGATAATTTTATTTTATTTCCATTTTGAACAACCGGTTCCTGACAATGAAGACGCTGCAAGGCAAATAAAGGCATTATATTTTACGTCTAAGATCAGGCGTTTTGTAGGATAAACATTCAAATCGTCTTAATAACAATTCAAAATTACTTTCGGTCGCCAAGTAGCAACAAAGCAATTCGATATCCACTTCGACAATCTTCAATATTTGGCGTTTGTAAATCTGAAAACTACATTTGAATTAAGAATGAATTATTCACTTACACATCGCACAGCCATAGAATTCAACACGCATACATAGATAGTTTCCAGTATATTCAAATTCGTAAAGGACTACTGCCGTAGCTACTTTAAAAGGATAAATACGATGTTTGTTTATCGAATACGAATCGCTGTGGTGGTTAGTCAGTGGCTAAAAAAGAGTGAGAAAAATAGCATAAGTAAGGTTGTGTTTGTATGCTTGAAATCATTGAGATTAGTCAAAATTTAATGCTTGCAGACGACTGAATACACTCACAGCTATTCGAGCATTTATTTTATACTGCAAACGACAAAAATCGCACAATTCGGCACGCTTGAGGAAATGAAAATCACTCCGCTCTGGAGGTGATATGAAAAATGATCCGATATACATTTCTGTTTCCGTGTAGTCGCCCTAAATCGGTGAATAATATGTTTGGCGGGAAAAATAAATGGACATCAAGCGTTTGTAAAAGTTACCGATTCCAAAAGTTATATTTCACTGTCTATCGACGAGAATATTTCATTTGGACTTTTTGCTAGCCTTCGTTGTCCGCCATTTTGTTTGTATTTTGAATTAATCCGTTATTGTGTTATCAAGACAATTCCGATACCATATGTATATCGAACTAACGTAGATAATCCAATACGAAAACTAATCCGGTATCATGTAATCGAGACAAATCCGGTACCATATGTATATCGAACCAACGTAGATAATCCGATACGAAAACTAATCCGGTATCATGCAATCGAGACAAATCCGATACCATATGTATATCGAACACTGACCTAAAATTGAACCAACGTAGATTATCCGATACGAAAACTAATCCGGTGTAACTCGGGCCTAAAAATCACATAACTGTTATCGCTTCTTATGTACCGACTTACCCCGAAGTATGAAATACTGCCCGCGTTATGCACTTTTCCGTGAAATCTATTGACATAATTGTTTCCATTGGGATCCCCTTGCATCGCCAATGCCGAGATGTAAGTAACATTGTAAAAGGTAATTTTAAAAAAGACGGATTCTGGTACTGGCAGTACTGAGCACCAAGCTCTCTCAGGGTGATTCAAACGGGCGTGCAAAGCAGGAAACTCGCCATTAATAGGTGTGCTTGAGGTCAATTGGCCATCTTGGATTAAACGTTTGCTGTTGTCAATTCCAAGTGGGTTTTCACATTTAAAATCATCGACTTGAGCTGAAAATAGAGACAAAGAATTAAGAAAAATTGCATCTTGTAACCGGGCCTTCAGGAAATTCATCTTTGGCCGCGGCAGATAGCTTACGTGGGGGGAGTGGGGAGGGTGATACTAATATTCATATATTTGCCTTCTAATTTAGTTTCTTTTTCAATTCATTGTTTGTATACGGTTTGTTACCACGAACAACTCCCGCACTTTTATCAGCGTCAAACGCGGAAAGTCTGATGTTACAAGAAATTTGATTGGGTCCACAAAACTATCGAGCCAATCAAACTTCTTGTTACATCAGACTTTTCGCGTTTGACGTCTATTCTGATTGATTCCTTAGCAGCGGAGAACCTCAGTTTTGGCGGGAAATTTTGAATTCTCCAGATTTTTTAAAACGATTTTACGGACTTTTTGAGCGCTAGAAAGAGGACACGGATGCTTTAGAAGATGATATTTTAAGGGTAAAATTAATTCCAAACATAAAACAACACTGAATAGAATAACGAAGTTGGCAAAGTTGGAAACAAATTTGAATTAGAGTTGCTGATGATTTTACAATAAAATCAAAATTTCTCAACATGTTATATTTGAGATTTGTTTTGTCATTTACTTAAGTTTCTAAAACTGAATGTCGTCTAGCAATGATATTAAAATCTCGTTTGTTGGACTGAAAAGTTTCTGTTATCTTCATACGGTCAAGATTCTATAGAAATGGGTCTTGAAATGAAGCTGAAAATATTCCAAATCGAAGGTATTCTATTAAAGTATTGAAGTGGTGTTTCAAATATTGCTTATGAGTATACTTACATATTTCGCAGAGAGAACCAGAAAAACCGAATACACAACGACAGTAGTCAACTCCAGTAGCGTCCGTTGAACACACGCCTTGTTTAGGAGTGCAGGAAAGACTACAGGATGATCCGACTAAATCACAAAAATATTCGTCAGGGGCCGGTAGTTCGAAAGGCGTTTTGCTTACGCGGTCATGGATAAGTTCAAAATGGACAACAAAATTATATATTTATTGAACAACTGAGCTGAAATATTTCGATGTAAATAGTTTAAGTTTCAAAGGAAGTGCGTATTAAATGTATAAGATGTAGGTTCAGTCGTTCACATGATGTATGAGTATTTTTAAACTTTGGCTTATCCACCGTTTAAGCTAAACGCCTTTCGAACAACCGGCCCCAGCTTACTAAAGACGTGTCTATGCATGTGAGATGTGGAAACTTTACAAAAGCTTTCCTTAAACGGAAATAGAGTACTTCGTTACATACATGACATATAAAAGGATTTAGACTTTCACGCGCGTGTACGCGTGCGTACGAAAAACGCGTGTGTGGAAAGCAGCCCTAAGTGAAAAAAAGGCTTGATGCCGAAATGTGACCAGGACTCTTTTAACAAACGCACCGGGATTGTTATACTTTTCCTCTCGACGCTACTGATTACGGCAATGATAACATTATAGGAAATAAGAAATAACTACGATAATAATAATGTTAAAAAAGTTCAATCGTCACCTGGTCCTAGTGGTGTTTCACAATTATCTCCTGTGTAGTCAGGTGCACAAGAACAAGTGTATCCTCCTAACCCATCATTAATACAAGTTCCTCCATTAACACAAGGGATGGTTGCACACGCGCCTGTAGAAAAGATAGGAAAGTACATTATATACATATTAAAGTTAACAAGACGTCCACTCGGCGTTAACCTGAAGTTGTTGTAGCGCTGCAGAGGCAATAAAGACAACAAATCGAAGATCTGAGGTTCATAGAGTACACAATTTAAATATTGCAAATTTTTGTCCAATACGCGACGGGCCATTTAATTTAACGATAATAAAAACAAGTGCATGAATGAGGAAGTTATTTCTTTCCGTTGGTTTCGATTTCTTTAAATACCAGCTAAAATCACTCGTGTGCCTGACACTAGGGGCGATTACGACTACGATTACGATTACGAAATTCGTCCCCCTTCCACAGGTGTTGTTTTCTTACACTATCGTCACGATCAGAAATGTAGCTAGAGATTGTTTCGTGTTTTCAATTCTTTTCAAAATGTACACGTCATGCACACGCCATCACACGGTGGATTTCTTATCATTTCTGACGTTTTAGTGACGACGCTGCTGATAACAGCAATGACAACATTATGGGAAACAATAACTACGATAATAACAATATCAAAAAAGTTCAATCTTCACCTAATTTTGTTTCGCAGTTAATTCCTATATAGCCAGACAAACAAGAACAAGTGTATCCTCCAGACCCATCTTTATTACAAGTTCCGCCATTACCACAAGGGCTGTTAGAACACGCGTTGGTTACTATAGAGAAAATAAGAAAGTACATTATATAAATTAAAGTTAATTATAAGCGGAACTTGATCAAAATAAATAAATATTTACTAAATTACCATACATTAGTGTTATTTGAAGTTTTTCGCCACCGAAGGAAATCGTATTTAACGCGAGACAAAAATATTGTATTTTTTCCGAATGCATTTTTTACGCTTTTCTAACTAATCACCACACGCCAGGTGAGCTAACCAACCAATCACAAAACTGCTAATAAATACTGTAGTTCATACAAAATTCGTTAATTTAATAAGGGTACAATCATTTTCAAAAGTAGTTAGGACACCTACTATCTTTAGCTAAAATCTACTATATAGGATGATTTCTATACACCCCCCCCCTCCCCCCAATCAATGTTGGTTTTCAAATCCAAACACGTTTCAAAATTTTTTCACATTTCTTTGCAAATTTGTACCGTTTGGCATAATCACGACGATTCAGAACTCCCTTTTTTCTAGCGTTCAAAAACTTGAATCCTGCGCCCTTAATCTCTCTGTAGAACGTTGAATAAGATGCTCCCGAAGATTCAAGTCCGCTGAAGCGAATAAGCTCTTTCAATGTGAAATTCGGATTAACATCACGCAACTTTCTTATACTACGCTCTAAATGCCTGCGATCACGAACAGATAGCTTTTTAGGTCGCCCCGTACTTGCAGATGACCTTTTCTTCTGCTTTAGCCTCGGTGTTTTCAAATATCGCGCGACAGTTGACTTAGAGATTTTAGCTTTTTTAGCAATTTCACGAATCGAATACTTATTTTCCATACTTAAGAATCGAACAAGCGCCCGCGTCTCATCAGAAATCTTTTGTACGAAGACCATTTTGGCAATTATATATAAAGGATATCGAGGAAACGGTTTATCCTATATAATATACTGACATGTATGGCTGACCCACTATTGTATAGCATGACATATTAAACCACATACGCACGTCACAGTCGACTATTTGCGTCAAATATGCACAGTTTGTACGTGCTGTTTATCAGCTCACCTTTGCATCCTACTCACTTAGAATACAAGTTGCTAGTTTAGCAGATAAATGCGCATTTACCTCTTGCAAATGCAGCAATAATGTCTCAACGCAAACACTTTCCCGAATATACATTGTGGTGATACATTTCATTTAGTAAATTTTACTTTTATAGCACAATTATAGCTCTGATTTGCCGAGAAATAAACCGCAAATTGAGAATACATAAATATTAATGAAAACTATATACAATTTACAAAGCATAGGGTGATGATAGCTCTTTTAGGTTGGTTTAATCATGAGTAAATACCTTAATTTAATCAATATAGTTAACTAAGCTTTCAGACAATCATTTTCAAAAGTAGTTGGGACACCTACTATCTTTAGCTAAAATCTACTATATAGGATGATTTCTATACACCCCCCCCCCCTCCCCCCAATCAATGTTGGTTTTCAAATCCAAACACGTTTCGGAACAAAATGTCCGTCTATTTGGGACACAACATTGAAAAGGGGGCGCGGGGGATCTGGGTTTGTCTTATAAATCGGTAATTTGGCTACCTGTCCCAACTCTTTTGAAAATGATTGTAGGTAAGTAGATACTAGATAGGTAGGTGATACTTTATTTAAAACCAAAACACGCTAGCCCAATCAACTCTAGGCTGATCAATAGGGAGCTTTAAGGCTGTTTTCCATTGTCGCGTTTTTCATACGCACGTACACGCACGTGAAAGTCTAAATGCTTATATAAGTTATCTTTAAAAAAACGAAATGAATAAACCGAAAGAACTTAGTTTTCCGCGTAGCTTAGTATGCATTTGCCGACCTGGATGTTAAATAGTAAAAATTTAAAAGCACTTAAACTTTTACGTGCGTGTACGTACGTGCTAAAAACGCGAAAGTGGAAAGCAGCCTTTAGCCGTGACTACGAGTACGACTACAAGTACGAGATTCGTCATTCTCGCGCGTTCTTTGCTTACGCCATCAGCCAAAACTCGTAGTCGTCGAGCTTTTGAGTACGAGTTTGTTGGCAAATTTCGCACTCGAAAGCCCAACGACTACGAGTTTTTGGTTGATGGCGTAAGCAAACAACGCGCGAGAATGACGAATCTCGTACTCGTAGTCGCTGCTAAAGCTTCTATTAGGGACGACAACGAAATAATAAACAAGTTGAAGCCGCCTGTAGACTTCTTATCAATTTCTGTCATTTCGTCAATTTCGTGCCGAACTTGGGGTGTAATCTTGACGATTTTGACAACGAAATTGCAACAAATTTTTGCCCACTCAAAAGCCCAAACGACTACGAGTTTTGGCGGATGACGTAAGCAAAACAACGCGCGAGAATGACGAATTAATATTTTACTCGTAGTCACTCACTGCTAAAGCTCCCTGCTGCCACAGAGTAAACAATAGATACAGAGCTGGAACTAGGTATTTTTTATTCTTATTTAACTATTCGAATAGTAATTAAATATGGCGTATGTTTGTACCCGTTTTTTTTAGTGCATGTGAGCTAAAAGTGACCCACAGCGCATGCTCGGCAAGCGCCTGAAATGTTCAAAATGGCTTGGATTTCTCGCTCAAACATTTTGATTAATTGAAGCTTTAAAATATCGTCACTTATATAGCATTTTACGCACGGGGGTACACCATAGTTTCAGCTCTGTATCGATTCGTTAATCTGTGCTACTTCAGTCTAAACTCGTCTATGCTACGTGCTCACGTCGGCGCACTTGGGTGTCTTCAAATCTTACTTTACCGCTCTTATGTGGCTCCGGAGTTCCTGCTGCGAAGATGTACATACATACCTCCTGACGTCTCGCAGTATGTCCCAGTGAAACCTGAAGCGCAAGTGCAGGTAAAGCCCGCTGAAGCATCGTAATTACACTGGCCGGTATTCAAACACGGATCATGGGTACAACTAGTATGCTTTTCTAAACAAATGACAAACGTATTATGTAAATAAAACTTTCAATTTATAGAATAACCAACAATACAATGAGACATTGGTAAATAGCTGTGCCGGATGAGATTATCCTGTACGATGAATTTTAAATTTTCTATCGCACGCGGGATTTTTAAAACATTTTAAGCTGTCATTTCACCGTAGTAATTTTATAAAACAACGGACCTTATACGCTATAGATAATTTTTTTTGTCTAGGCGATAAACCTATAGCCCTCTCAACTGGGAGAAAATTTGCCGAATATGACTAATGTGAAAGCATATCAAACCTAAATTCCTAAGGGAATATTTTTCTAGTATGGGTTTATGTCAACTTCGCATGTTAGCTTACTTCCACAAAGGTTTTTATGGTATTTTACGTGATAAATGGCTATAGAAGTAGAGGCGAGGTAATCGGGGGGTGCTGCGGGTGTGACGCTCCTTCCCCTCAATAATTTACCATGATAAAAGGTTGGTCACTAAAATGTAAAAACGTAATAACTCATAATAAACATAATAAAGTTGGGCAGTTTTTATTATAAAAGTTTGTTACACCAGACATCCCCCAAAATTTCTCCCGCTCCGCTGAATACAAGCCAATGGCATCAGTACGAAATATCACGTCAGTATGACGGATTCTCGTAGCCGTAGCAGGAGCTGTAAAGACTGCTTTCTACTGTCGCGTTTTTTGCACGTATACGCACGTAAAAGGTTTAAATTCTTTTCAAAGATACTTATAAAACCAACAATTGAGTAGATGCATTGGGTTGGATTCTGTTGAAGATTTGGCATAAAAATAACTATATAACACCAAGTTTTAAACTTTTACGCGCGTGTACGTACGTGCAAAAAACGTGGTAGTGGAAAGACGCCCTAAGACCAGTTTCCACTTGCGATTTTTGCAACTTTCGCCTATTGATAGATGTGAACGAATGAATAAGTTACGGATGTGCACATAGGAGTACTGATGTATCAGACCATTCGTAACTGTCCACTCTTTCACATCCATCGAAAGAGAAAAATCGCAGCAAAAAGTACAATGCAAGTGTGAACGGATTTGCAGTCAAAACTCAAATTTAAAGTTTCTATGAACACTTCCCCTGAAACTCATTGACATTTTTATCTCGCTATTTTCACGATCGCCCATTCTTCACAGCTTTCCATTGAAAAGCGGTCACCCAAAAAATGACAACCCTTGTGATTACATATAAGTACGCCTACGAATACGAGATTCGTCAGATTCGTCAAATTCGTTTGCAAAATTTAAAATTGAAAAGTTAGCTGAAAACATAACTCAGTGGGAAGCTAAAAACATAGCTACTACAGTAACAAGGGGGAATTTTGTTTAAGACCAATCAGCGAGTGTGTTTACATATTCAGTAACCCAATCAGAATGCGTAAATTTTGACGACTTCCGGTAAAATGGTACATTATTTAACATATTACATGAAGTATTAAAAATTTAGGCTTTCTGATTGATTCAAGTTTACTATATAGTAGTTTTGAAACTCAAATTTTCTAGAACTTCAAATTTGCTATGATAAATTACTCTCATGCTGTACCAGAAGATTTGATGAATTTCACTAAACAAGCACTACTTACTACTACAATCGACATGATAATACCCAGGAGCACAATGACATTCTTTGTTATCGTCACCGCATGTTCCTCCATTTAGGCAATTACTGTCATCACCTTGACAATTAGCTACAACTGAAAAAAAAAATTTAGTTCAGTACTGCATTACTTTGGTTTTTTTGGAGTTATATTGAGTGGCGGGAACGAAAAGCACTTCGAACAACCTCTATCGCTATTTCCTTGTATCTTACAAATTAATTACCGAACACTTAGTTATCGCAACCGAAGGAACATCTAACACTTTATTACTGCGACCGAAGGAAACATGTTTTGTGGACCCGAAACCTGCCGAAATCTCATTGGGCGAAGCACACTAGCCAAGTGAAATATCGACGGTCGAGGGTCCAAAAAACAATGTTTTACCAATTTCACCATTATACTAGAGCTTGAAAAAGCATCCCAAATTTGATAAATTTGCATAGTTCGGTTGAAAAATACAAAAAGATGGAAGATATGGCCCTCTAGCTGCTAGAGAATTTTGTATACTTTGTTCTATAGTACCCGCCCAACGCCATATCATGCAGCACCCACCCAACGCCATACTAACATATATAGTTACCCACATTTTTGTCTTAAATAAATAACTATGTAATAGGAAAACAAATAAAAAATTGAATCTTGTGGCTTACTTTGTTGGAAATAAGAGGTCAGGACCAGTAAACACAACAAGTTTGCAGTGAAGTGAACGGCCATGTTACCTCTGTAACCTGCAAATATTTAAACACCATAATTTATTCAGGTGATCTTAATTGGCCTTTCTCACGATGACGAATATGCCGCCATTTTGGGGGGTACTTTTTTTCAAAACAACGGCGACTGTCTTTATTTTTAGGCTGAATTTATTCTCTGAAACATTACACGGTTGCCTTGACTAAAATTTTCCGAATTTTTTTATAAAAAAAAATTCATCGGCTTTGCTTGGTCTTATTTTTTGGTGTTTTGCAAGAACTCAAGTTTGTCCGTAGTGGCAAACGAGCGTCAGTAAACTCGTTTTTTGGTTAATATATTATACCTTTGAGAGTACTAAAAAAATCAATGTAGACGATGATAGCTATTTAGACAATTTGTTTTTACCGTATGCAAGCTTCAAATCCCCAGTACAAGGCATTTTGTTGAGCATTTATAAATCTTTTTGCTCACCAAATTTGAAGTCAAAGTGCAAAGAATTGTGGCTAAGTCCATATGCCGAATGCCAACCATTTTCCGTGCTATACCTACTCCGCCCCTGTCTGTACATCAGGGGACGGTTGTATATCAAGCCCGTTTAGCTTAAACGGTGGATAAGTTCAAAATAGAAAGCAAGTCTGATTAGATTGTGTGTTTTGAACGTTTTCCCGCCAAAACACGCGATACATAAAAAATCAAGAGGTAAGGTACTAAGGAATTATATACTGCTGACAAAATATATTTATTTAAAGATACGGTTTGAGATTCTTTTGATATACAGAAAGACTTTGCAAACTGTGTGCAAGTTCGTTTTATAGGTTAGTTTTGAGGCACATACAGCGAAGGATCTATAAGGCACCAATATATATAGCGCTCCTAGGCAACTAAGTGAAAACTTTATAGACAGGATTTAGAGACGGGTTCGTCTCCAAAAAACCCAGTTACAGAGTTTTTCTCCCCACAACCGTGATATATGTTACTTCAATGTATAGTGATATCCTATTTTCCAAATGGGGCTTCTGATGAAAAAGCCTCTATATTTGTGGAAATGAATATTTCACCACGTTTTTGCTTTCATTTTAGATTCTATAGTGAAGCGTCAAAGCCATTCCATGCAAATCGTAAAATCTCCAAAGACTTCAAAGCTTTATAAGCTTGTATATAGGCAAGCTCAAAAATACTGTTGTGGAAATATTTATTTTGTGATTCGAGATGTTTCTAGTGGTTTTTCCACCTGCACATACATACTCCCACTTATTGCGGAAGTAAAATTTGTTTTCCCGGGAAAAAATGGTTCGTATCTGACTCGAAAGCATTCGTGTTTCAGCATTCGTGTTTTCCAAGTTTGACTTTCATAATTGCAAAAATTTGTTCAGTGTTTATTTCGCAGAGCTTCAGAAGTTCCAATTTGAACTTCGTGATTTTGTTTTGGTTCATGCCTGTTCAATGTTTATCTGTTGCCATGGCGCGATGGTTCACACCGCTTAAAACACTTGTACGTTGTTGTTATAACATATTATATATACGTACATGTAAAAATGCTGGAACGAAATAGCATAGCATAATAGCACGGCCGTTACGAAACACTCTACAGTCAAACTAAGTTTTAAATTGCAATATAGAAGTTAATTTCAAACGAGAATAGTTTATCTCTGCTGAAGACTTCAATTGCATTGTACAAAATTGTGAGCAATTTCGAAAAACGCACAATAAAAGCTATAACCAAAAACTAACTTGCTTGACAGCGCAAGTTAATTCACGCATTTTACTTTTCTATTGTTTCAATTATCATTCTGCAGTATTTATATTAATGACTGCGTGATAATTTGAGCTTGTTTTACAGACAAAGGGATTGTTATTCATACGCTATTCCTAAAAACGGCTAATTGCCAATGAGTTTAATTAAATTGTTTACTGCATGTACGAATGCTGTCTATATGTCTAAACATGTCTATACCATTAACATTCTGTCTTCGTTTAGTAATTTGTTGCAAATACATGACTAAAACTTATATCATAATATGTGTCGAACAATTTACATATACCCTAATACGAAATACAGCATTCCGGGAGACTCGAGTTTGCTAGGACACCTGTTCTCCTGCAGTGTAATATAACGCCTTTACATTAACATACTAACAATGATAATTCCCACTTACCAAACACTCAGCTTGAAATGTTCTTACATCGAGAAATTACTTAAAGTTAAAGCAAATATCCAAATAAAAAATAAGTTGCTGCCGGTTGCAAGTTCAAGAAAGAACTAGCTAACATGTGTTTGCGGGTCCCACAAGTCTGTCAACAGACCTAGATGTCTTGGTAACGGGACCCGCTGACAAAATAAACAGCTAGCTGAGTGATGAACTTATATAAAGAAGCTTCAAACACTTGTAATAATGTTATCATTAGCTAGTTGACAAATCATAGCGCCCAAAATGCACACGTGCCCTTAGTGGCTTTATATATATATATATATATATATATATTATATATATATATATTATATATATATATATATATATATATATATATATATATATATATATATATATATATATATATATATATACCCGATATACACTTTCCCTTGTTTGTTAAACAGTACGTAAAAAAGATTAATACTTTATTGAAGAAAATTGGAAAGAAGAGAGTGTTGATCAATGTTTGTAAATCATTCAGTCTTGTAAATCAACCTTTCATTTCAGACAACGGTTTCGAATAGTATAGCTACCCCCTCCCCCTGGGTCTCGTAATTCACACAGATGCCGCGCTGATTTCCTGCAGTGGAAATTGCTTCACTCGCGAGGCGAGATTCTTTCGTGGGCGCGAATAGTTTCCAGGCTTTGTTATTATACCACTTGATGTGGTCGCGAACTTGACCAATAGATAAGTCGTCAATACCATATTTAGATAGAGCAAATATAACAAGAATTGCTTGGTGGTTGGCCATGAAGCTTTTAAAATTTTTAGTAAGCAATACTTAATTTATATAGCTATATATTTGTCTACCACCTGATTCCTACACGGATGAAACCTTCAAAAATCTCTAGTAAGCAGTACTTATCTTATATATGGACACCCCGTTGAAATCGCAAGAAATTGCTGAAAGCCTTTCAAATATCTGAAGACAAGTGCATAGTATAAGCATTCTAATGAAATTTGCCTATGCATGCATTCATCGAACTCGCCTCAGTTACGTTAAGCCGGTTTTCCACAAGCGATATTTTTCGCGCGAAGCGACATTTTACTTTTGTTTCAGAGCTCTCAACTGCAACCATCTGGAACAAATTGCTCAAATACAAAGGAATAAAGTCGCTTCGCGCGAAAAATATCGCTAGTGGAAAACTGGCTTTAGTGCATGACCTAGGATTTTATTAGCATCTCATTATATAGAAGAGAAGTTGTCTAGGGGCAATGTCCAGCCATGACTAATGTAAACGCTTTGTTTACATTTTGAACTGTTATATTTCTTTAAATACATTTTGAACTAAGTAAATCAGTTTGCAGGTACACCACGTAAGTATTTAATACTGCAGTATTTAATACTTCCGCGGTGTACCTACAAACTAATTTACTTATTGATGTCACCAAGCAAACTTATAAGAATATTATTACATTTTGAGCTGTTATATATTTCTTGAAATATGACAAACTGTCCGTATCATGACTAGACTAGACTAGAATCGATGCGATGCAGCGCAGTAATCTTGACTGGACATGACCTTCAAAGGTACATACGTGAAATTAATACACCACTCTTAAAAACACAATAAATAACGACCCACGGTCCTATATATCCGTCCTTTCGGATACAAACGACGTTTAGTTGCCAACTTTCTTAAAATCAATGTTGCTAGGTTGAAGCCGTAGGTCGAAGGTCAAAGTTATCGAGCTTCTAGAATCCTGAAAAATGCCTGAAAATCGGCAGAATATTTTTGCACTTTATTAAGTGGAATAGGCTGGCCTGCTCCGTCGAAACCAACCATCAACGGCCTTTCCTTGCTGGTTAACATTGACTTGAGAACGAGAAGCTCGCTCCCAACTGCTTTTGGCTTCTTTACGAAGCCGATTTCCGGGTCAAATTCGCGCAGTCTCACCGGTATTGTGTTGACCTTCTAAGAAAATCGAGAAAAAACATTGACGAGAAATGTAAATGACGAAAAAACTAATTGGCGAGCAGGTAAAAGGTGAAAAACTAATTCGACAAGCAGGCAGATGAAAGGGAATATAGAAGACAATTATATAGCAAGCCAACGGTTTTGCATGAATTGTTTGCGAATAAATTCGGCAGACTGTCGCACACCTGCCATTTAGTAGTGCCCGATAAGTTGAAATCAGTAAACTAGTTCAGATTGGAACGAAACTGGCTGCCATGATTGAAGCCAATTTAAAGCCGAATTGAAAGATAGTGGCAGTCCCCTTCAATTGTTTTGTCACCATTATCGTTAACCGTGAAAAAAGAACAATACAAATAGACTGGCACAACTTTAACTCGACTTCAAATTGGCTTCAAAGATGGCGAGCGAGTTATCATTCCAGTTTACATAGAGTTCACTGGTTAGAATGTTAAGTAAGTGAGTGATACGATGGAAAGATGTATACGATGAAGACAGACTAAACTGCAGGTTCAAATAGTGAATCTTAAAAATGGTAATGTATTTGAAAACGTTACCTTCCCGGTAAGGATGTATTCTTCAGAGTCTCCAACGTGTTGCGTAAAAAGAACACATTTCGCCCTCGTTTTTCTACTGCAACTTTCGTTTTCAAATATGACCAACTGGTTAAGGTCTTCGTTGAGTGTGTAATGAGTCAGCCAAATTGCTAAAAGAAGTTTACAGACAAAAAGTTACACTCTGATGGTAGAAATTGACTATATGCATGCATGCAGTTAGGAAATATTAGCTTGGGTATACAATGAAACAGCTGATCCGAGATGACGTCATAAAGCGCCTCGACAAAATCATGCGCATTAGTGATTGGTTCAAGTTCTTTCTACTAACAGTATAATTGGGGTGCACAATACAATTTGTAATTTACAATCGACTGGAAAATGAATGCACTTTTAAAGGTATAGTGGCATAGTGGTTGGGATTATTAGTTACAGTTGTATTCCCACTGAGAATGGGTATTGTGGTTTGGTCCAAAGGATGTTGTGATTCTGGTGCAATGAGATTCTGAGAGAATGGATAGCACTAGATTTGTCGTATTGTTTGTGCGACTTGCACGATCGACACCCAAAATATGATTATACAAAGTATGATTATACAAAATATTTCAACAAAATATTTACTTTGCGGATCTTCTCTAAAACCAGTTGTAGTGACTTGTAGTCGATCGTTATCAACAACTTCCATTCTTAAAAAACCTCCTTTTATTTCAGGTGATTGATTGCAACTGTATAGCTGCACTTTATACGTTTTAATTTCATCATCATGTCCTTCCTAAAGTTTTCAAAAAGAAACAGATTCTTAGAACCTATAGACAGCCCACGTCAGCACAGTACACTTGATTCATAGACCTATTATTCCAAAAAAGGGGAGGAGGTCTGGATCGAATCACGCTAGAACAAGACCAACCATGCCCCAGGATTTCCGCGTACTGCTTTCATTTGGCACACACGGTAGAACCTGAGAACGAGATTGAAACAAGTCTAGTCGAATCTTCTCCTGTTAAAATCTTATGCTTATTTTCAGTTTTTCACCAAACTTGTTGCAAGTTACACTAAAACGAGACTAGTTAAGAATGAATTGACAAACTTTAAAAACAACATTTCTTGCCACAATAAAATCTGACTAGTCTTGTTTTCGGGGGAATCTCATTATACGCCTCCCGCTCTGCGAATATGAACCAATGTGCATTACGAGCTTTCTTTTGGCTCTCAGACATGCGGAAAGAGATGAGAGATTAGAAATTACATTAGGTTAATAACATGCAATCTTGAAAACTGTGGTAAACATGGTGTGACGAAGAACTCAAATAAATATTTTTATGTTTTTACTTTGAGGATCTAATCCAACCAAAGAAGAGGAAAATGCTTCTGGGAACAAAATCGCAACATTTGGCTTGCTAACTGTTTTAGGCTTGAGCATTGAGATGCATTAGAAATCTGAAATTCAAGATAAATACTCACGATAAATTCACGGAAAAATCTCGTGACAACATTGCCATCAATCTCATCCTTTGGCTCTGCTTCTTCTTCGTCGGCATTGTTTTCTTCACCTACCACCGTCTTATTTGTTCTAGTATCGTTTGAAGGTTCACTGTCACAGCCGTTCATTCCATCTGTCTCATTTGGGCTTGGAGCACTGCCCTCGCCATGAGTACTTGACTCTTTCTTTGACGGATTCATTGTCTGTGCTGACCCAGAATTCGGAATATCTTTTAAGACCTCCTCTTTGCAATTGCTACCGTGTCCAGTATTTGCCACTGATATTGGCCTAACATTTTCTCCATTCATTTCTGGCAATTTCTGAGAACTAGAATTTCTCGCCATTTCTAAAATCATAGAATAAACCAAAGGATATGAGGTACGAAATGTCACAGTAATCGACCTGCGTAAGGCTATATATACAAATAGCATACCTTGAGAAGGCGGATGTTGATTTAACAGCATAAAACTTTCATTTTCCCTTTTAATTTCAATTTGACTTTCGATTACGTTTCAGTGTGTAAAAACATTCCTTTCGACTATTAAATTCTTTAGCTTTCCAGCTAGCATTCATGTAGATCTTGGTTTATAATACGATCACAACACGCAACCGTAATTACATCAGTTGCATGCCTTATACATTTAAATAGCTTGCGTCCTTTCAGGAATGTCGCTTTTATTTAAAGACAAATATTCGTTTGGATGCAAAAGTGTTGAGGACATTTGAACCCCGGAAGATACTCAGATATCAGATATACAAACATTTAAGATCGATAAATTAAATCCCATGAAATTGAATCCGGCTATTAAATCCCATATATGTACGAACAACGCATTTTAACACGTCTGCCGAATTTATAAGTAAATAATTTTTTAAGATAACTTCAGCTCAAGCATGTCGAACACCATAATATAAGATTGTTTAACATTTAGACAGCGAGGTAGAGAAGTCTGAAAAGCACATTTTACGATCAAATTATAGTTGAAATTGAATATCTGCGCTTTATGTTCAATAATCATAAATAGCCGTTCGATGTAATTTGATTGGCTGTTTTAGGGTGTGTGATTTTTTCTAGGAAAACATATTCATTTGAACGTTCTCTTGGTCCGGAAAGGATTTCTAGAAAAGATATCGATATTAAATTGAAACTTACATTATTCTGGAAAAAAAAATTGAAAAAAAATCTTGAACTTTATAACCAAATTGTGTACATTTTAATTGAAAGGATATCACTGATATGATTGTAATTAGAAGCATTGTAAGTTGAGACTAACTCTTCCTTAACTTTTTCTAAACTTTTAAGGATGTGTTAAATAAACCTGTGATATAACTGTAATGTTATATATTTCACTTATATCATGAACATACAGTCAAGTTGTTTTAACTTTTGATAAACCATGATATCATTGTAACTTAAAACATAGTAACGTCAATATACTTTAAAACTACTCGAATTCAAATTACAAAATTTTAGCCCATGTTTAGCTATTTTGAACTGAAGTACCACTTTTCAATTTACAAAGCTATAGAGACTTAATTTGGCTTTCAGCCATTTGAAATGACCCACAAATTTTGTCATTATTATACGCTTTTTTATTATTATATGCCTGAAATTTAGGCAAACTGGCTGTGTGCAAGACATCGTTGTCAAAGAGACACAATTTTTATCTTCAAGATATGAGTTCAAATACAAAACGGTTAAAAGTGCTCGTCATATATAGCTAAAAGGTGATAAAATATTCCATACGTCAAAAGTGCATGAATTGGATTAAACGACATTAGATCTTGTGAACAGACGTCTAAACCGTTCAACAGGACCAGTAATTTATATAGTGTATCTAAAACGGACGAATATAGAGAGAAACTTGCTTTCCGCGTAGGAAGTCTTCTAGGCGTTTTGTGCCACCCATTGACGTCAAAAAGTTCAAAAGTGAAAGACTTTTTTAATTATTTTCTCTTTATGATGTTGACCGCATGTGCTCTGTGGGTCAAGAATGCATGCCCAACATATATACAACTATATTTAAGGACTATACCTCTCTAAGGAAGAGGGAGTGTGTACAATGTCGATAAGCTGTCGTTTTCATTATGACTGTATAAAAAGTATAGCAATTTAAAAACGAAAGACAGTCAAGTGTTTTAGTCAAGACTAACAAATTGTTAGCAGAATGCTTACAAATCCTACTCGGAAATCCTACTTGTGTCTTGAACTTTAATAAAGTAGTATTTATTCGTGGCATTAAGGTCTGCAGTGGCAGAATCTGCCGGATTCTTCTACCAGAATCTGCCTCGACGGTCAAGGTTCCATGCATGTCGACCCGTAAATTCGCACACTAGCTGTGATATTCACACAGTGAAAACAAGAAGTTTGTAAAGCTCGAGTGTTTGTGCTTTAAAATATCACTTTCGTTATACCTATAGTTTCGATTTTACGGCTGATTTGCGTTGGCAAAGATAGACACGTCGAACTACAGAAATACAAGTGAATTTTTTCCATGCCAATGTCAAATCGCAACTTCACTCTGGCTCGACATTGAAAACTCGACTCGAGGCAACATGCTATCCTGATTGCAAGCGATGTATTTGTGAGTCGTTATATAAATATTTATATATAGCCATAGGTATAGCATATAACAATTTGTTTACTAACAGAACGGCAATATAAAGATAGCTAATATACTCAGTCACAGCTGACAGACTTGAATTTTACACTATATTAATATAAGCTATATATATATACAGTAATTATATAATCGCGTATATATATATCTTTAGATAAGAGATGTATACATGATTGTTGACTAAAATCAAGCCCTCAATAGGAGACGATCAACTGAGGACAAACTTTACTTCCGTTTGGCTTATGCAAAATTAACCAAATTAAATGTCAAGACAAATTTGCACAACATGGCTAAAAGCTGATAGATTGGCGAATATATATATCAACTGGAGGATGTCTTTGTGTACTTATAAAATCTATTTAAATACAGTACCATTCATACAGTATTGATTTCAACTGATTCTAATATGTATATACGATATAGCTGTCCTATTACAATAAGATATATAAAATTTACACGAAAGATGTATACTTATAGTAACAAAATCAACGTAATTCACGTGGGTCGTCCCTCTAGTCGCTTCACTGGGTAACCCTCATAACAATTTCATGCAACTATATTATATGACAATAACCTTGCATGCCTTGGAGGGTTCGTTATAGCAAATTTGAAATTGGCCACATCATATGGTTGGTTTAATCTATGCCGTGGCGCAGGTTTGTGTGGTATATGACGTAGATATGCGTGGTCAAAAAATCGATATTTAACGATTGTTCATTTAATCCTAGCAATATAATATATATTGGCAGTGGGTGGTTAGAGAATCTACGTAGCTATAGAAATGATATTTCTTGCTCTGTAGGAATCTCCTTTACAACCAAATAAATCTAACCTATCTCAGCATCCTGTTTCATTATATGGAATCGATTTGGATCGGTCAAATGCGCCGCCTTTTCAAGGAACTCTTGATTCGAGCAAACAAAAACCTGCGGACGTGCTAAATACATCAAAGGCGTTACTTGACGAGAACGTTTCTCAGCAGGAATACAAGACAAACAAATGTATAAACAAATGTCTTTCTCATATATATATGCAAATCGTATGGAAAAAATTCCTCGTCAGGGCGTTTTATAGTATGAAATGTACGACAAATCACCGCAAAGAAAAGTTACATAAGTTTAATTGTTTAAAGTACCTGACATCGTTTCAAATTTAATTCTAAGAATTGTATTTTATAAAGTGTTTCGTGCAATAAGTAATTAATGACTGTAAAGTTAATCATGAACATGTGATCAGTTCGTGCAAGTGCAGTAAAGAGGTTTTCTCTACTTTAATAACTCGTTTAGGACGCCAGTTCAATGTCAATTAAAGACGATCGATGTATTTCGAATTCTATTCTTGATTGTTCAAAATACAGACATATAGTTATTAATTATCGAGAAAATTATCCCAAAACATGGTGAATATTGACATGAAGAAAAGGATATCGAATGGCGAAGCGACAGTTGATTTTGCCCCGCTATCCGCAGAGTCGCCAGCTTTCACATGTACATCACACAACGATGCATCTTTACATCTCGTCAGATTTGAACAGCGTGTTCTCACGTCCAGGTTTGTTTGGTAAAACGAGGGAAGCTTACACCTCCACGAAAATCCTGTTGGTGCCAGATAAGCCACAACTGAAACTACCTCGCTGAAAGAACAGAATCTGTAGCCAGCTGGGATTACGATGTAGGAGCGACTTCTCACAGTATACGTCTTCACCTTAATGCGTTCTTTTGTATAAGACACGCCGCCCGATAACCCCACTAATTTCCGCACCATCGTGCCAATCTCTGTCGACACTTCTACGGAAGTACGCACGGTGCTGCCGGAGAAACGATGAGTTTTGACTTCATAGACACATGTATGGTTATGAGATTTATGACCAGGGCAAGCGGAGGAAAAGGCTTCAACTGCGCAGCGAATTCCAGCCTTTGGAGGACCGTCGAGATTAGAACACATGTATATTTGTATATGAAGGTAGCCTGACACGAAGGTAACGCGGACTTGATTACCATCTTTCTTTGCGAATTTCCAACTATAGATACTACTGTACTTATCACAATATATTAGCACATCTCTCCGCGGTTCTTCAAGTGGTATTCGCTCATTGTGGACACCCAAGTCGACCTTACGATTTGCGATCCGAATGTACCTGTAGAGCAAACATTTTCTGACATTCAATGAACTATTTGTGGCCACCAGTTTACACACCTCATCATCTTCTGTGTATACCACTGTAGGAAGAATAAGCAGAACTGGCACTAGAACAGGCAGAATATCGCGCAACGCCATCTCAACTATATTCTGAGATTTATTGCAATGACGATCACAAAAAAGCATATTAGCAAAACATCTCAGTAATTAAGGAATATTGGCCAATTATGATGGAGAAAGAAGTCACATGATAGTCCAACTATTGTTTATAATTGTAGCTTGATCGTGACATATTTCATTAACATTTGTCTACAGGGTGTATCAAAAAAAAGGAAACCTTTAGAAATCAAGCTATTGTTAAAATTTGAATGCCTTTTCAATTGCATTTGCACATATGCTGAACCGTAGTGCGTGAAATATTGATGGCGTGCATGCATACATTAGAAAAAGGAGGCCTTTAGAAAATGAATTCACGTTTGTACACAAGATTGTCTGCTCCTGGGAATTTGAAGTAACTTTAATAGCAAAAGGAAAAATAACGAAAAGCCATGCATACTGTTATCGCACAAAAGCGATAACAGTATGCATGGTATAATTTTAATAAAATAGCTTGA